CCCTCACCTCCACCTCACCCTCACCCAGCACCCACCCTCACCCTCCACCTCACCCTCACCCAGCACCCACCCTCACCCTCCACTTCACCCCTCACCCAGCACCCACCACCTCCACCTCACCCCTCACCTCAGCACCCACCCCACCTCCACCTCACCCCTCACCCAGCACCCACCCTCACCCTCCACCTCACCCCCTCACCCAGCACCCACCCTCACCCTCCACCTCACCCCCTCACCCACCACCCAATGAAAGATAAATTTAAATTATAAAATCACCATAAATTACTATATACACCAACTAGCCCAAGATAAAGGTGCCAGTGAATATTTTTAGGTCTCCGGAGCTTGAACTATTCCCCGGTGTTGCTAGTATATCAAAATAGCTGGATATATATTATTTTTACTAAGTGTTGTATTAATATTTTTTAAAGTGGTGGAAAATGGATTATCTCTTACCTGTTATCTGTTGTCTACTGTATAGCTGTATAGTTTATTTATATGCCTATCCATTTGTAAATCGTTATGGTGATTATTATTGTTGTTTTTACAGTTGTTTTAATTATTTTATTATTATTAAGTATGTTATTGCTGTATTCTTTTAAGCATTTTCTATAAAGTTTTTATAAAAGAAAACGTTATTACCGTATTTCTTAAATATAAGGAGAAACATTTATAAAATTACTATTCGTTCAGACAGTTGGTCCCTTTTAGTTTTATTACTGTATTTTGAACTCAGAACTTCATTGTCCAGTGTTAATACAAATGGAAACCTGTAATTGATTGTGCCACAGTGGATAACACCTTCACATGGGACTCGAACCCAGGACACTGTAAAATGCACAGTTTACCACCACACTGTACCACCAACATCCATTAACATTTCTAACACGGATATACAGTATGTGACTGTTAAATACATGTTAGATTATCAGAAGTAATTTACCATATTATAATAGCTATTAACTTTGATTATAGACAAACATCGCGTTATTTATGTATGGCAAATAGGTGATGCAGTTCTGTATGTTTATTATAATATCAGTAACTCATTTTGTATTGTTTAATAAAGTAGTGAGTTGTTTTGTGGGTATTTTGGCCTCTCATGTGCTGGCCCAGACCTGATACTGCTGATGACATGTATAATTTAACTGTATGCTGTATTTTTTACTGTGGGAAACTGTTAATGTAGAGTTACTTGTGTATCAGGGTAGCAGGCAGCTATCAAACAGGAAGGTACTACCGCCTGAGAAGATATTGAAAGCAAAATGCGTTGTCTCATGGTAGACCCTGCCATTTGTTTTAAAAGGTTTATCTGGTAAGTTAGGTAAGGTTAGGTAGGTTAGTTTAGGTTGGTTAGGTCAAGCTCTCATAGGTTCTGAATTCTCGTTTCCATTTGTCGATTTAATAGATTGTAAATAACGATTCCATTAAGTTTCCTCCAATTCTATCAACTCTCTCGTGTTAATAAAAAAATATATAATTATAAACACACAATATTACACGACCCCTGAAAGTTGGTGGATGAGTGTGACAAACTTGGCCGCTCGAGCGAACAGCCGTCGGCAGAGGCGGGAAATATGAAGTTGTTCGTAGTCATATTTCCCGCCTCTGCTGACAGCCGTGTATTTCAATGCGATTCTAAAATGTTAGTTTCTGCATATTGTATTGTTACTGATACGTAATTTGTCTTAGTATTCCTTATGCTGGGTAAAAATAAGTATATATTAAATGCGTCCCCCGAAAGCGTGAATTTGTTACCAGAGTTTAATAGTTAATTCATGTATAAGATTTCTGATAAACTTCCTACGTGCTCATGTTTGAAATAATGAATGTATGTATCTATATAATTTAGCTAATTATGTTTATCGTCAGAAACGGTCATCCCAACGATTATAAATGAACTCATTTAGATATGCATCATCACTTTAGGGCGAAATCGGACAGATTTGCAACAGTCTATCAGCTGTAACTCTTGAGGAGGGGCGGGGCATCTCTTCTCAGCTGAGGAAAAACGCCCTATAGTTTGGTAGTGTATGTTGTTTATTCAGACCACTTCTGTACAGTATTTACTGTTTATACCGGTCACTTTTCTCTACTGTTAGGTGCTTATAGCGACTACTTCTGTTTATTATATACTGCTTATACCGACCATATTTGTAGTGCTTAAATGGTAATGCGTGGACTGAAACTGATGATAGAAAACGTACGTGTTAGTGGAGAACTGCGGCAGTCATCTATATACTTCAGGAATGTTAACAGACGCCAACTAGTCTTGAATAATGCGCATAACTTGTTGTTTACCTTGAATATATTTCTGAAAGTGTGAAAATAAACAATATTAACAACAATACTTAACATCAAGCAACCGACAAGTGACAGCTAGTAAACGAAGAGACCAATCAGGTTGCTGACTCAGATCGTGTCGTTAATAATGCACACATATGATTGTTGTCACCCCGAGCTAACTTACCTCCTGTAAATACGTTTCTAAATTCAGGGAGATATTTACTATAAACCGAGGACGTTCACCAGCCGTTTTTTACTGCTTCTGCTTCAAGATTTTGTCTGGCCCCTCGGGCGATGTGTGGACTTCTTTGTATTCCCTAACTTTACGCTCTCTCTCTCTCTCTCTCTCTCTCTCTCTCTCTCTCTCTCTCTCTCTCTCTCTCTCTCTCTCCAACTTGAGAACTTAAGGCTCCTGCTGTTATTAATTCATCCTCTGGGCCTGAGCTCATTACTAAATACGGGGACAGTCAGTTATAGGATAATATTTATCCTAACAGTGTTAAGAGATGAACAAAGTTGTCCTTTTTGGATTTTGTTCATTTTAATATTGAATTGGTTGTATTTTGTCCCGATACTTTACAAAAATTTGGCTTTAAGAATGTACAGTGTACATAAAATATAAAATGCAATCTCCTAGAATTATAAAAATTAGCTTGTCCATCATAACAGCTCATTAATCAATCTCTTTTGTGTAGTAAAAATATAATTAAAGTAAAAAATGTACGACATTAGCTTTGGGTTGCTTAACAAAATATTTCCGTTCCAGTGAAGTGAGAGTTTGTGTTCACATCTACAACACTTCATCTATGACGTCACACACTGGCTGCTAACACGGCTTAGAAACTTTATCTGATACTCTAACGTGACTGGATACGTACTCTTAGCATCAATAAGTTAAGCACAAGATTACAATATTCAGCGTACGAATCTTGGAGAATCTGCTGGACTCAGGGCATTAGTCAGGTGTGTCGATGTACTGTACCCGCTTGGTTGGGTGTACTCTCTACTCCCAAGCACCAGCTGGGAGAGAAATCACAAGGTCCGTCCTCCCGGTCACACACCTGCTTATCTCACACCTGCGTCACACCTGTCCCCGTGGTGTATCTGAAAGTCACATACCTACTAATTCCATAAAAGTGAGTCATGTACATCAAAAACTTATCCATCACCCCTCGTCATCCATCACCCCTCGTCATCCATCACCCCTCGTCATCCATCACCCCTCGTCATCCATCACCCCTCGTCATCCATCACCCCTCGTCATCCATCACCCCTCGTCTCCATCACCCCTCGTCATCCATCACCCCTCGTCATCCATCACCCCTCGTCATCCATCACCCCTCGTCATCCATCACCCCACATCTTACTTGCCTTTCATTGTATGACTAAAATCCTACTAAATAATATCAATGTGGACCTAAATAATAACGTACTCATGTTTTGGGGAAGTCATGCTATCGCCCTTTGTTAAATTTAAGTTAACAGTTGGGTTTGTTAAATAGGCAGGGTGAGCCGATCAAGCTTGTGGGAGGCGAAGGTTTAACTCTTAATTTGACACAGATTATATTATATACAAAATAGGGCAGATAGATGGATATATATTTAATCCACTTGTTACTATTGAATTAACGACGTATATTCAATTGTTCAAATAATCTCTGTAGCATGATTAAGTTCTTATGAAGATTAGGAACTCCCGTTTATTTCATATGATGATTAAATACACTCTAATGCTAACCTTACCTAACAGAATAAAACAGAATCTAACATAACATACCTCCCAAATAGAGTTAGAATGTTTAATTACCAGGTTAAATAATCTTAGCAAATACAATCCATATATCACATTTTGAAATCCTACATACAAATATTTCAAAATAAAGAAAATTAATAAGTATACAAGTAATAAAATAACTGCTCTGGGAAAGATGACAATCCCCTGTGTATATTTCGTTAACTGACACCAGAGAATTATATATCACTTTGTGTATTTGTATTTTCTCTCTCTTTATACATAACTATGATATTACATGTATGAGTAACCATGTGCTATCCTAATAAGCTTAAATAAATAAGCAAACAACCAAAAAACAGGGCACTCATTATACTGCCAGCGGAGTGAGTCAGGTAACCTCCCTCTCTCTGCTCCACATCACCATTCCTCGAACCTTATAGCAACAGCATAAATCCTGTTTTAGGTCCTTGCTTCTCATTTCAGCTCTTTGTTGGTGAAATTGAGATCCTTCGTAGTGTTTGTGTCAGCACATTACAAACTGTCGAGGTCAAATGATCTGTGGGGGTCATGATGGGGTGACCTGTGACACAACCCCTGTGAAAGTTTAATTATGAACACCTGATGTGATGTAAACACGGTCTTTGCTTCAACTATTCCAAGATATGATTATTATTTTATATATATTTGACTTCGAAGATTGATTAACTATAATGGTATTACGTCCTTATTTTGGCATTCGGGTGTATAATTACAAAATGCTGATAGCTGCCATCGTAGACTCAGCTGTAATCTGCTGACCTAGAATTTCCAGTACCATTCGCATACTTTCTCTTTCTCTAGCATCCTAATTATTACCAAATATAGACATTTAGAAGTATCTGCAGGTGTTTTAATACTCAATATACACTAAAAGCTAATTAAAATCACTGGGTATCTATTATTTAGTAGTTAAATGAATGAAATAAGACCATATTGTCAGATAATGAGATGTGAGTGTGAGCGAAACTTTTGGTGGTTGACGTCCGGTTGAGGGAGGTAGATGGCAGCAGCTCCTCGCCCCGGCCTCAGTGCTTAGTCAACACCCGCCGCTCTCCTTGGACTCTTGCTACTTCAACCCCACCACACAAAGGTAAGATATTATTGTATAGATATTACCATGCTATTAATTATCTACTATGGATGTAATTAACCTGTAGGAATATAGATCTAGGGGATAGAAAAGGTATTAGTAAGGTTCAATGTTTTGGGGCGATGTGTCATCTTGATTCCCAAGAGGATGGGGTTCGGGGTGGCGCAGTGCCTCGTGCCACACCCTCTAGCTTTCTCTAAAAGGTGTGCACTTATTGACACTTACCTATTAAATTAATATAAAAATACCGTAAACTTTCCCTAGTTGCTATTATTTCAAAGTTAAAGGTAGTAAAATTTCTAGTTTGTGTCTTAAACATAGCTGGGCCTGTAGTCATGGGGGGTCCTAGTGCTATCTTTGTATCTGCTAATTTGGGTAAAAGTGTAAATAATAAGCTCCACTTTAGTATTATTTTGAAATTATTTATATAATTCATGTTTATATTTAGATATTTGTTATATTATTTCAGTGGTAAAGGTGTAATGTAGGTTTGTATCCTAAATATATGGAATGGTTTGTTTTCTTTTGAGTTGTATTGGAAACATTTGCTTTGATGTTACATATATAGAATTAAAACCGAGGGAGCCGGGAAAAGACTTAAAACTTACCTAAGAAAGGGTAAAGAGATAGTCTATGGCCTCTGTACTGTCTGATTCTATATGGAATGAACCACTGTGCTGCCTAATTTGAATACTGTTAATTTTGCTGTATACGTACAGTAGTGGGAATAGGTACGGCGCCCCTACGTAAAAAATCACACTGAATATTGGTACGGCAGCTGTATAATGGACTGTGTTGTTAATGGTTAGGTTAGGTTACATTAAGTTAGGTTTCATTAGGTTAGGTTACATTAAGTTAGGTTACATTATGTTAGGCAGAAAGAAGACCATCTTAGTAACTATCACTGTGCAGCATTAGACAGCCATGCCAATAAACAGGACGTTTTACACATGGCTGCTGTACCTGTATCCACTGCCTACTATATATTCCGAAGTGGTTCATTCATGCTGAAATCAGACACAGTTCATTGATGGTTTTTGTCAGCATTTCAAAGTATATACTGTAAGTGTTTTGCTGTAAAAAAGGAAGACATTTACGCCCGAAGTTTTAATCACTCTTCCATGAGCAGGGGGTCATCATGTTTCAACCAAAATTAAAAAAAAAAATCGTGAAAGGCACCACTATAGTGCTTAATGGGGAGGTGTGGTGATAAAATTAACTTATTTCAATCAAATTAATTTATAATACTGTATTGGAATTAGTCATTCATTTTACTGCCACACCTCCCCGTCAAGCACTGTAGTGCCTGTGTCCTTTGTGACTTATTTTTAACATTGGTTGAAACACGACGACCGCCGTCCATGGAAGAGGCTGATCATAACTCCGGCTGTTAACCCATATTAAAGCCCTGAGCCTATAATACATTTTCATATTTTTGTGTCAAAGGCTCACAGCCACCACCTTCAGACACCTAGCTGTACATTATGCTGTTGCATTTTGTCCTCTACTTGAGTGTGTTATGGGCCTTGGGCTGTCATTCTGGAGGAAGAGGGATCATTCTTCCATCAATTGTAGTGTACAGTACTGTGTACATTTTAACATACGGTACACTGTTAACCCCTTGTATACGGGGCTCCCTCTGAGCTGAATAAAATCATCTGGCATTAGCCAAATAAGATATTAAAAGTGGCGCCCTGTAGTGAAGGGGTTAATGCCATTAGTCTTTAGGGAGAAGCTTTTGCAAATGGTTGACAGGTACAGTGGTATGAAACCTTTTAGAGGCATGTCCATGGTTATTAGGTTGATGAATCTAATGTAAGTTTCACTGTCAGGAGTGGCCTTGCATTACAGAGCTATTAATCTAGCTGTGACTCCCAACTGCAAGTGTGAGGTGAGGAGGCCTTACAAGGCCCAGCCCTTGTCCTAGACACAAATACTTACACAAAAACGGAAGCTTCAGCCTTCTATTTCTCAGGTCATTTGTGATTAGATGATTGTCACTTAGGATCACTGTTTCTCTTATTTATGGCATCTCCTTGGAGCTTAAGATGATGAGGAAAGCCTTGGGATGATCATTATTTTAATACTATTTCCGTGCTCGTGTGTGTTAGCCACAGATGCCCTTATCGTAGCTCTCCATGTTGCACAGTCTCTTGCAGTCTCTAATCAGCCTCCTAACCACTCATACCTTGCTCTTAATTCAGTGGTGATATGAATACCTGTCCCATTGTTGAGGCTGGGAAAGCTTTACAAGACCTTCCATTTAATTTTCCATGGTCTCTCAATGCTGTTGTGGGTCAATCTTTAATAGAGTACTGTACTGTACTTGGGGTCTCAATAAACCAATTTCCTATTGCCAGGCCTGGAAATATTATTTCACCAGGATGGAATGGGATAATGTTCCTCTTAGAATATCTAGGAAGTTGAATCAGGATGTGTGACTCGGATTGTGAAATAAAATAGTTTTGAAAACTACAGAATCCTTCACCATCATACTGGACTCAATAAGGATCACTCATGGAGTGAAGGTATCCTTAAAAGGGAGAAGGCTGAAGAGGGTTGCTGTTAATATAAACATGCAATACAATTCATACTCTGATCCACCAGTTCAAAAGTGGGTACAAATTAACATCACAAGAAGATTCAGTTGCACCGCTACACACAGGACTGCTCAATACTTGTTCTATTATTGTAGTAGCTAAGTGTTTATTATTATTTTAAACACATTTGGTGTTTACTGCCACAAATTCAGGTTGTTAATTGTATATGTACATTACTGTTCAGTATATGTTTATAATGCAGTGCACATGTGTTTGTTTTCTGATTCAAGTTACTTGAATAACAAGCAAGTTAGTAAACAGAGCCAACATATATGGCATTGTGGTCATTAAATATCCTGATATATTGATCAACTTAGCTTCATAAGGTGTATAACTGAATCCCAGATGTGGGATCTAGTATCAGGCAGATATGATAAGTATTTTTTTCTTTTGGAGTTGTCTGGTATGGACCTTCAGACAAGTTCCATTGGGACGTTTATTGATTACAATCTGGAGAGTATTTAATTCAGGCTGACAGGATTTTGAGAAAGTTATCTCACCAGCAACATATTTCCCCTAAAAGTCTCAACTTAGTTTCTTCCTATTAAACAGTCTGGCCACCCCAAAATTTCATCGCTGTGTGCCTGGCTAGTAGAGGTTTTACTGTACTAGTGAGAACAGTCTGGTTTTGGCGAAAGCTTGCAACTGGAAGGACAGGTTTGGCTCTTGCTACCTGCTGAATAAACATGTACTAGGTGACCAGGATGAGTTAGATGGACTGTAAGAGAGACATGTCTGTTTAGTGGCTACATCACCTCTGAAAATAGAATCCCCAGTATAGAGTCACCTTATACACTAACGAGATCACCTGATTACTTAATTGACCACAACATGTTATATAAGATTTTAGGCAGCATATTTGTGGGTTATTTCCTAATTAATGCTGAGGAATCTAGTTTGGGTTTGGTTAGGTTAGTTTTGAGTTTGTTACAGTATTTTTAAAAAGATTATGAAGCTGCTTGTGGAGTCCATCTTTAATCCTCTTCAGTTTGTTTATTTCTTGAATATTTACAAACTCATTTCCTTTTTTGTATTCATGGGTTTTTGCCACTATTCCTTGCGTGTGTGTGTGTGTGTGTGTGTGTGTGTGTGTTTGAATATCTTTGGAATTTTCTCTAAGTACTGTCAGCCCTGTTGGTATTTTTTATTTATTTTTTTTTTACGGGAATTAGCCCACCCAGGCACAGGTCACTGACCCACATCGGAGCCTGGGGGGCGAAATAATAATAATAATAATAATAATAATAAAGAACCACAAAGAAATACAAAATGAAAAAAAAAATCAAAAGTAAGAAAAACAATTGAGACCCTGCAATTGTGTGTAAATGAGGCAGAAAGTCAGATCAGCAACCTGGGACTTGGTCACAATTTTCGTGATGCCATGTGGCAGCAAGATCTACCATAGACAACACATTCTGCTTCCAATATCTTCCCAGGCGGTAGTACCTCCCTGTTTTGTAGCTGTTAAGAATGTCTGCAGCATTCCCTTGACTGTTTTTCATACCAAATATAAGATTCACTTTTCATTTAATAAATTTACCAAATTCTTGATAGTTCATTGTTCCACTTTTTATTTCCTGTACAGATGACAAAACCTAACACTGTTTTATGTCACTCAGATTGTGTTAGATCTTGTCTATTGGATTAATGACCAGAGATCCATTGTTTAATTTTATTACCGTACCATAAATGCCAAAATACTGTTCACAAATTGTAGTGAAAATCGTAAATACCTGTATATGGTCAAAGAATTTTTGGGCATAGCTAATCAGTAAAGTTTATGAAGAATGTCTTTGACTTCAAGTATATTTATATACACTAAAGCAACTCCATTGGCAGAGCTGTTGTGTGTTAAAACATACCTCTGATGAAGCACACCTTGTATCTTTCAGTCAAAATGTCGTCCCGCAAGGCTGGAAAGAAGACCGTGAAGAAGCGCGCCCAGCGTGCCACTAGCAATGTCTTCGCCATGTTTGATCAGGCCCAGATTCAAGAATTTAAAGAAGCCTTTAACATGATTGACCAAAACCGTGATGGATTTATCGACAAGGATGATCTCCATGACATGCTGGCATCCCTAGGTCAGTGCTAATACAGTCATCAGTTGTTCTAGCCAGTAAAAGAAACTCAATACCATAAAAAGCTGACTCTTTAGTAGAAGCCTTGCAAGAAAAAAATGGTAAGCTTGTAGAATGAGATAAGTGTTTAGGATGTTATGCCATATAATTTAACTGGACATTACTCCTTAGGCAAGAACCCCACCGATGATTATTTGGACAGCATGATGAATGAGGCTCCTGGACCCATCAACTTCACCATGTTCCTCACACTGTTTGGTGATCGCCTCCAGGTTAGTTTATTTGGAATCGTTTATACTAATTAGTTTTCAGGAGTGTAGACTATTTATTACTCTGATTCTCACTGAAATTTAAGTTCCCTGGGATTGAAATTCGGAAAAGTTCCATTTCATCATGTAACCTGCCGTCTGTAGTGATCAAATCGACGTGTGATATTTTTATTCTTCTCCATTATATCAGCCATTACTGTACAACATAGGAAATTTGATAATTGGTTTTCAGAAGACTGGGTTGTTCAGTGGGGGGGCTAGTTGGGTTGTGTTTAGTAGGTGAGATGTCCTGCTTGAGTGAGTTCCAATATTTTTTTAATAGTGGCTTCCATACACCCAGGTCTATTTTTCTAGGTACAGTAATTCACCCACGTAGAGGGTTTTAACGGTTCTTCATTCCCACGCATTATATAATCAAATGAAACTGGATTATTTTATGTAAGACAGTTTGAAAATAGATAGTGATTTCAGGTAGTGATATATACTGTACTTTAGTCATTATTTCAGGACTGATGATTAATAGTTTATTCATTATTATCATCCATTAAATGTATTCTCAATGTTTATCTCTTCACAGGGAACAGATCCCGAGGATGTCATCAAAAATGCATTCGGCTGCTTTGACGAGAACAACCAGGGCTACATTAATGAAGAGCAGCTAAGAGAACTCCTTGTGTCCATGGGCGATCGCTTCTCAGATGAGGACGTAAGTTTTACACACGGTGACTTCTATCCTGGCTCTGTTGTATAGCTAGGAGAATGTACTGTATCAGTGCTTGTATTATATGATGGCTGGGCATTAGTGTGTTGTAGGATCATGGGGTGTAAGGGTATTGTGAAGCCCAGGGGATTAGTAAGTGTATTGTAGGATCATGGAGCTTAAGTTTTCGTATTGCAGAATGGTGAGGCATCGGTCTTTGTTATGTTGGTCGGCCTGAAGCATAGGTATGGCTCTGTGAATATTATGTAATGAAATATGTTTGACCCCCAGTATCTTTTAGGGAGGTTAGCTAGTTTATCCGATTCTGCATAGAACTTTTATTTTATATACCTTGTGTTTGTAATTACATGTCTTAGTAATATTTTTTAATACAATGTCTTAATTATTCTAATATGGAAAAACAGAGCAGGTGACATTAGAAGTGTATGTCTCAAGAATATATTTTTGGGTTGTGGCTGGTCTAGAACTCTCCCGGAAAATATATATTGTGGAGTTTTACGCTTCACCAAGCTCTTCCAAAGAGACTGTTCAAGGTATTATCAACAGTATGAGAAATATACAAAATTGGTTGGAAATTTCAAATGGTTATAACAAAGGTTTTGTGTCTACTTACTTCACTCAGTCTGGGTGGTACTGTTGTTACTAAAGGGGGTCACTATGTACATTTTGGTCTCCATCCATCTGTCACTGGGGAACCCTTTTGTTTTAGATTATTGTATTAGCTAGGAAGGATAGTGGAAAGAGACATTTTCCATTTAAGTTTATTCAGCAAGGACGTGACACGAGGGCACCTGCGTTCATCCTATTTTCTAACTAGATAACGTTGAGGGGGGAGGGGGGGGATGGAACTCACTATACACCCACAAAAACTAAAGAGAAAACATTAGGTACACATCACTCACCGATCCTTCAGTATCGACGGTCGCCGGGCCCCACACAGGAACCTCACACCCACACTTCAACAGCCAAACTGTCTGTCTTTTCCTTACACTCCTATCCTGTTGTTGAGGCCTTTTTCAGTCTCCAATCAGAGTAGGTTTTTTCCAAGGGTCCTTATGTTCTGTAACCCTCATTGGTTGGCACACTGTATGGGCGGGGCTATCTCCATGGCACCCCATATAGGTTATTTCCTTGAGGCTGTATCTAATTGTGTCCATTTGGTCCGACAAGTGCCATAAACATTATAACGGGCTTTCACATGGGTGTATGGGTGCCTGCCTGTGTGGGTGTTCCTGTTTATTACATGGTAAATTAATAGGTCTAAGAACTTGCCCTTAGCTGGTGAGAGGACATTGAGAGAACTGAGAGATTAATAAGAAGAAGAATACATATTGTATTAGACAATATGACACAATAGACGAAGGATTTTGGCAACCCTACTGAGACAACAGAAGCCACAGTGTTCTTTAAAAAATTCATCGACCACCTTAGTAAAGATACAGATAAGCGGTACTGGTAAGTGTAAGAGGAGAACATTTTGTATTTTTTCTTTTTTTATATAACCTGTAATAATATCGGAACCTACTTTTCATTGATTTAACGGGAGAAGAAACTAACCTGCCTTCTTTCGGCAGGTCGACGAAATGTACCGGGAGGCCCCAATCAAGAACTCCATGTTCGACTATGTGGAGTTCACGCGTATCCTGAAGCACGGTGCCAAAGATCTGGAGGACCAGTGATAAGTGAAGAAGCTGGAGTGCTCTCACACTACAGTACATAATAATTAGCTGAATTTTCATTGAGGGAGAGGTGGTGAATGTCAGGTGTTTATAGGGAGGAAATTTTTTTCAGTAAGAGTTTCCTCATAGACTTTTTGTATGCAGAAAGAAATTCAAATATGTTATCTATTTACTGAGTTTTACATCACGTGCAATGTATAAGTTTCTTTACCTTCATTGTTTAATAGTATTTGGATATAATTAATTCAGTTTGTATTGAGAAGTTATATAGTGATGTTCCTACAGTAATGACTGAAAGGGTTAATATGCATAAGCCTCAAATATTTATATAAAAAATTAACTTCCTGCAACATAAAGTGTGATATTTATGAAGTAACTTAATGGTGTAAGTTATATCATGCACAGTTATTATAAAAAACATGTAAAAGTAAGACCTGGACTCTTACAGGGTAATAGTTTCCAGAATATTACATTCACTGAGTACTTTTGAAGGACTAAAAGTGTAAGACTGTTAAAGAAACATTATTTTTACATTTATTTTTTTTTGAGGTTGTCCGAATCTTTTCCGATGCTAGTACAGTACATTTAATCAGGTTGAAATAAGGTGAAAGCACTAGTGACTTAAATACTAGTTGAACAATTGGATGTGCTTGTATACAGTATTGAAAAATCGGTTTCATTCAAGCATCCCTAATGTAATTAATTAGTACTGTGAAACGTGAGCTCACATGTAACTCCTATCGAGGGACTTAATTTGCTTTATATTGTATACAATGATCAGAGTACCAGACCCTGCTTTAACAGCTCTACTTTAATTCATATTAGCTTGCTATTTATTGCATTGAGAAAGTATATCTTCATAATCAAATGACTTATTAGTACTATATAGTGCCTTAGCATGAAAAAATACTAATAGTTACAGAATATTTACAGTTTTGTTAACTAATGTAGAATCCTGCTTGCTATTAATTATTTTTTGCAATGATACGCTAAAGTTTTCATTCCAGTAATGTATTGTATTTGACGTTCCTACTTTTTCATTGTTGAACGAACCATTTTGTTATATTCCCAACTTTTGGATTACATTTTCTATTGTGTGAACTCATTCCAGTGCAAAATTTTATACAAGGATTATACTCCGATCTTTCTAAAATAAATGTAAAATTTTTGATGGGCTTTTATCCTAATGCAACTATGGTATTTTGAAAAAGTCAAATGATTTGCAGACCATTATCAAAGTAATATATATTTTTTTCTTGTGTGTCCTTACCTGGTTTGTATCTCATGTGTGTTTGATATGTGATGCTTGTGTATGGAATGATATTGGTTGACCATGTGAAGTACAGGACAGTACAGTCAGTATGCCCTTAACGTACGTACATACATGTGCTATTACGTATATTTTATAATGGTAACATACATCTGAGTGAACTTAAAGTACACACATCCACAGATACGTACAGTAAATCCTCTGTGTCAAAGTTAGATTGCATCATATTGCTTAACCATCACCAACATATTAAATTGCACTGTTTTAAATTAAAGTACAGTAATGTTGTTTTGACGTGAAGCGATGCAGGACAACCACCATGCTATTCCTGACACCGAACAAAACTATATAGTTTTAACTCTTAATCTATTTTACATACAGTATATGGCACCATCTCCACACAATATTCACAATCATTCGGGGAACAGTGATTGGCACAGCCCCTGAAACTGTGCATATCAGAGAGGACATGACCCATAGCATCCCCTCACACCATACTCTGTTTCACCCTACATTACCCCCCACACCATATTCTCACAGCATCCCCTTCCTGTTATATAAATACTGTAACTTTCATGTAAAGACAATAGAAATTACAACATACACTCAAATTTTGTAGGTAAGCATAAACTTTTTTTTTTTTTCATGGCATCTCTGGCAACAGTTTGTAGCCTCACTCACCCAGTTGAGAGAGAAACACAAAGCAATACACGTCCATGCTCCTGTACACAGCGAGGATGTCACACACTACCATACATATACTTTGACTTAAAATAATAAAATCTTAATACCTCCTGGTTTTTATTTGCACATATGTGGTATTATTTATGCTTGTCAATGCTTGCTTCAAGACTGTAACCCTCTTGATATTAGTTTGATCATTTTTCTTCAAAGTATGACTAAAAATACCACTCTCCATCTTGTCTCCCATTTAATTTATAATGGGGAACACAATCTAATTCACAGTTTCACTTAATATTGTGTTTTCTAGGAATGTATCCACAACATATATACAGTAGAGGACTTACTGTACACTCCCTTGTGTTGAACCCCTACACACCCACACCTAGATGCTCATCACTTAGGGTTTACATTGTATTTTATATTGTTCCTGTACTTTATATCCTACAGTACATTTTAATTAAGACTCGATTTCAGTAACGAGTTCTTCATTTGAGCTGAAACTGCACCCTGACACTATAGTACTGGCAAATTCGTGATATCTGACCCCATTATAATTAATTAAATGCAAATTAGTTATTTTTAATATTACTCGTACCAAAATTTAGGTAACGTCTTAGTGTTGCCAGACCTGGAAAAAGTGCCATACATCATTTGACAACTAGATAATGAACTTGAGTGTTTGTTTCTCCTGTTTACAATTATGAAAGACTAATAAAATTTTAAACAGCTTTGTTACTTCAATAAAATACTGTAATTATCAATGTTTAGAGATAGGAATCCAGGTAAAAAAAATTTAAGGCAAGTTCTGCAATGTACTTGGACTTCTAGCAGCTGCTTAACATACAAGGTTTTCAGGAATGCATGCAGTATAATAAGGCAATGCTGACTGTACAGCATATCATGATTGCTTGAGATGAAAGTGACAGTGATTGAATACAAGTGTGAAATACAGTATTGTGATTGTCTGAGAAGGTAGTTTTTTGTGTGGACTCCTTTTATCTTCAGATGATTAGTACAAGTGACAAGATGTTAATAAAATTAATAAGTGTATGAAATTAAATGAAACCTTCACTTGCTACTAAGAACCTCAGAAGGAAAAATGAGAAGTAATTGTAAAGTAATATATTTAGGCGAGGACAAAGTATCATAAATTCATCCTCAAAAGAGTGTCTATTGGTCCATATAAAATTTATAAGAAAATCACTCCACACTGAGCAATATGACAGCTTGGTGTAATGTGGGGTCTGAGCACATCTCTGAGAGTGTGGGACATGAAAACACCAAGAAGCGTCTTCCACAATATATGGTCGAGGGTAAGCTGTTTAATACAAGATTAAAAAATACCTCATCTACAGTCAATAGCTAAATTATAGTGTAGTTCAGAAGCATTTTTAAATTGTATTTAAAGCAATGGGAGTTTGAATTGTCATGATGGTGTTTCTTGGTGACCAAAGAGTGGTGATTGGTCTGAAAACTTTGCATGATCAGCTTGTGAAGTCTCAATTCATGGTACTGTATATTCTTAAGAGGTAACTTTTGATTCAAACACAACTCGCCACAATCCTTCGCTCAAAGACAGTCACTAATGAGTAACGACTCATGATTCTTCTTTCAACTCCTTACACAATTTATCGCATGACTCATCACATGACCCATAACATGACTTATAAACTATAACATTATATGACCCATTACAGTGGTATTTAGTATCACGGTAACCAAATTTTACCAGGGATGCTGAATATTAATTATGTTGCCCTAGATATGGGGTGCTGTACCTCCACTTCAAGTAAATTCATAAATAATAATTTATGAATTTACTTGATTCATCATTCATTACTCATGACTCCTGTTGTATATATGGCCATACACGATTCATCACGAATGAATCCTCTGACCAGGTGAGGATTCGAAATCTTTCAAGTTAATTACACGCAGGTGTGCACATCCAGGAGATACAGGGTGTTCATAAATGATTATCCTAAAAACAGTATATTCTCATGTTTTAATCAGGGTAATCATTTATGGACACCCTGTATTTCGGTACATTTATAGTCAAAAGTTGCTTAATGACCAGTTAATGTTAATGGATAATGACTAACACACTTGCACATTAACATTACCATAGGTATTTATGATTGCTGAATCCATAATCAATACTAATTAAACAACAGTGCTTAATGTTCACAAATGTGTACATACCCACATACATACTCCACTCGTACACATGGATGTACAAAAACGCAAACAAACAGATACTGCACATCCATTCTCAGTACACACGCAAACACCCCCACACACTTTTCACTGCACACCTGTGGCCACACACCTGGTAACAGACTAGTGCAATATGTGATCAGGGATCCCAACTGAAGAATGATCACCCACACACCACCACCTGGTAAATTGCTATACTTTTGAAGGGATGGTCTTTCCGGGATAAGCCGCCCGAATCACTTCCTGTACTCTTCAATATTTAACGACTAAAGAATCAAGATTATATATTTTTCTTAATTATAGTGGTAGTGTGGGGTATGGGATTGTTTGGTTCACACTCAGGATGGAATGGAGAAAGGAAACTCACAATGTGCTCTCTATATACATGTTGTATTGGATGTACAATGCAGCTTGGTGCTGGGAAGGCAGCATGGTTACAAGCGTGATGTAGAGAGAGCTGGTTGGTGAGGACGCTCAGAGAAGGACAGCTTGTGGGTCGCCATGCTCGCCAGCGGGAGCGAGGGAAGGCCGCCAGGCAGCGGCGGAGGAGGTGTTGCTGGCTGCGGCTGTAGGTAGAAAGAGAGATCACCACGAGGTCAGGTCTTAAATAGCGGGGGTAGGCGTGGCTTAGCAGTTGACCCCCGCTCCGTGGTGTATGGCGGCGCTGGTTGACCTAGACCACGAGGCATACACTGGGCAATTGGTGGGGTCGGCTAGGGAGCGACAAACAGCGTTTGTAGGGGAGAATTCCACTACAGTAGTTATACTCCACAACTTGTAACCTAACCAGAGCAGAATGGCCTAATTATTATTCTAAGCACGAGGTAGGAGACGTGTACAGTTGGCTCCACTCCTGTATTTACCACCTATCGTTGCCACTCCTCTCTCCCTGAAGTGTGAACTCTGAACTCTGACGTGTGAATGCGAAACTGAGTGTAATCGTCTAGCGCTTGCCACATGAAAATACTAAATAAAAAAATGTACCAACAAATTTCCACCAAACAATATTTGCCTATGAACAATGTCCCACCACTTAACACAACACCTAAGAAGTGTGGTGGGGAATTCCACAGCTCAAGTGTCTTCAAGTACCACTACCCGGTAAGGTTAGGTTATTTTAAGATTGTTTAGGTAAACCTTTGTGAAAGATTAATACCAGACCCTCGGCTCTACATATATAAAGTCAGCAGCAAAAAGTATAAAGTGAAGTAAAGTATAACCCTAACAATAAGTGAACAAGGGGCTCATTCATATCTTATCTCCCCGCAGTCATTCCACCTCCTCACTACGTTGAGTGAATCCGGCCAGACACTGATAAAATACTCACACATCTAACTGCTGTACGTATAGCCTGTTTCATTTTAGCCAGCAGTGTGACAGATCATGGGATTAGAAACCTTTATTATGTCTGTCATTGATAATACTTAGAAAATAAAGATATATTTAGTGCCATATTTACGAGCATTTAAGTCGATCGGTTCACCATTGTTCCTCGTGGCTTCTCAAGTTATTCCCAAACATACACACTTCAGGATTATTCAAATTTAACGTCACTGGATTTGATATAATTTAAGCGAAACTGATATATGCTGAGTAGTGTGCAGTACTGTACTAGAAACAATACAAGGTGTACATCAGGATAATATCATTCTTGATTTTCATACTGATTCTCATTATTCTATTGTCCTAGACTCCTATTCCACACCTCCAATACAGTACAACACGAAGAGGCAGATGAAAGAACTCTCTTCGTACTACACTCTTATCTACAGCTCACAGATAGGGTGACTCATTGTATAGAAGTCAGTAATACAGATGCGATTTTGTGTTTGTACGATAAATTAATACTTTCACAAAATCATGGCGAAGAGGATAAAAGTAAAAGTAAAACAAAGAAGCTAGGGGGAGCACCAAGCAGGCACACTCGTCATTTTATTGGATATCTGGTTGACGTTGATTGCATTTTATTTCATTGTCGATTCAGAATTAATAAGACGTCAAGACAGCATCATTATCCCGCTTATTGCTGGGAGAGAGCAAAACCACTGTTGTCAAAGGAAGAATGATAACTTAGGAGGGATATCTAATTTCTTCTTAAAGTGAAAATATATTCGTGATTATTATATGAAAACGAGAAAAACCAGGACTGCTCCGACTTTGTAACTCTCTTTTTAGTTAAGCAGTGATAACACATTAGGCTGCTCACCGCCTCACACTTCTTACGCTATCGCAAAGATGTAATACAAACGCCATGAGCTATACCTGTAAATAACTATAATTAATTACCAACAATTCATAACTCTACCTTTAAGTTACCATATCATCAATGCCAGTTATGAATTAAGGAAGATTATGTACAGAAAGTAAACTGATTTGAATATATCAGTTATGGCAGCCAAGCTCAGCTCCACCCTCCCACTTCCTTTCTCGTCCTGAGTGTTGGCATCACGTCATCACCCACAGCACACTCTCTCTTCATAGCGGCCTCTGACTTCTTTCGTGTATTTTTTTCTTCTTGTAAATGATCATAACACCGCTTTACACACTGCATAGCATAATCTCACTTTCCAATTAGTTTACTGCAAATAGAAATTAATATTCGGGGTACCATGTAGTTTAGTGTTTCTATTTATTTCGTTACAATGGCATAGAATCACCAGGAAATGACTTGCTAGGATCAGAACTGCATCAAGTCATTGAGGTATAGAAGAACTTTTATATTTGTCATTGCCTGTTGTAATGAAGAATAATGTAAATTTTTAAAAGGTCATCAATCAGCGTACCGTCCTTATATCTGAGGGTTGGCGACCACAGTCCTCCACTCTAAACGTTCTCGGACCGTTTTTACCAATTCTCCAAGGTTTGTATATCTCTCTAGGACCCAGTTTATACTTTCATTCATCCATCCTAGACTGTGCTTTCCCCTGGCCCTCCTATCCCAACTTTGCCCATTAATACTTCTGTTAACATTCCCTCCTCCCTAATTGTATGACCAAAGTATGTCATTTTCCCCTTTTCTGTACATTTCAAGATTCTCTTGAGGTTTTTGCTAAACTTGGTACTTGTTCATTTGTTTTCCTGTTAGTGTAGCTTATTCATAGCATTCGCACCACCACTACTACTACAATGCCAGTGTAGGCTAAACTGTCAGAATTTGAGACTGGAGAAGCACAGTTAGTAAGAGTAAGATAAATAATTTTAATGAAAAAAATCATCAAGGTTTACGGGAACTCTTGGGTCACAGGGTAATAACAATAATGACACATACTAATATCTCTATTCTATTCCAGAATGTATACGTGAAAAACTACTGTATGATACTATTAGAGCGCATAGCGTGAAAAATACAGTAGTCAAAGTATTACACTGTATTATTTATGTCTCCCAGACTAAAACATCCTCTTAAACTTGGCGCCAGGAATTGTACTTAAATCCATACGCAAAAACTTTTACCCATCGAATACACAAATATACATATAACGTTATAAAAATCAAGAATACAATATATATAATAATATGGATGTAATTTTAAGCCATATTTTAGGTATATTAGCTTGAGTTAGTGGTATATGGAGGGACTAGTTTGGTGAGCGGCGGTGGAGGGAGAGGAGCCCAAACATCGCGTGAGGTGAAGGACGCCATTCTGAGCCACCCGTGTACACACCTTACTGAGGAGCCGGCCACAACCTGCCATGTCTTACGGAAGAGGCAACAACGAGTGTCGCATTTATGTGGGGAACCTTCCTCCGGACATAAGGACAAAGGATATCGAGGATTTGTTTTATAAATTCGGCAAAATCGTCTTCATAGATTTGAAGAACCGCCGTGGGCCTCCGTTTGCCTTCGTCGAGTTTGAGGACCCAAGGTGAGTGGCGTCTTAAAGATGCTACCCTTCACTATCTCCTGTCAGGCCTCCTTCAACTGTCTCTTTCACTATTTATAACATTAAAAAAAATATCTAGAGGTGTTTTAAATACATGCGATGAGGTTATTGAGTGTGTTTAGTGTAATCCATTGTCCGTGTACACTGTGAGGGTCTGTGTGGCGCGTGGGGGGATGGCTGGAACTATAATTGTTTATCTCCTCTTATAATATCTCTTGTGTGTGTTCCCTTTTAGATGTGTATTACAGTGCTAAATGATGGCGTAATTGTTAATGGTAGCGTTAAGTATAAGCGGTTGATAGTAACAAAACTGATTTAACATTTATTTAGTGGTAATATTTGTGGCGGCATTGTCGGAAATTTTTGTTTGTGAGTCATATTAGTATGGGTGGTTTAAAGTTAAGGCATTGCTGTCACTTAAGTTTCTAGACATAAGTGAAAGTTTTCTATTGGTGCCAGTCGAGTTGTTGTCCAGTCAGCGATCATAATAAACTTCATTATTGGTGACAATGAAGTTAGATCTTAGTGTTGATGTTAATTAAGTTGTCGATTGGGATGTGAAGTGTAAAAAATAAATAATTTAGAGAAAAGGGCGTTTCCATACTCTGAGTTGCTATTTCAAACATTAACCCCTGAATTTACTTGTTTGTTAATAAAATACAACCACAGGTTTCTTTACTAATGACAAATCGTCTCATATCTGCTTGTATAATCGAAGTGGAAATTTGCCTGGCTATTTGACCGGGATCCGTGGGGATTGTGTATGATTTTAATAGGTTTCTGGTCAGTGTGGCTGTGGGCACTACACTAGTCATTACACTATTATATAAATGTTGATTTAGCACTAACTTCATTAATGGTCTTCTGATACACAGATGTCCCACTTCTCTCATGCACATAGGTTACAGTATGTTAAAATTTTAGTAAAATACTCACATGGTATAATAATGTGTAACAATACACATTAAGATTATGCATAATCCACAGTGGTTATGTTAGTAAAAAGAAGGCCATCTTAGTAACGATCATTGTAGTGTCTGCCCTCCATGCATGCACATTAGGCTGCCATACCAATAGACATAGACGTTTTACATACGGCTGTTGTACCTGCATCCTGTGCCTTAAAAATTGGGGGGGGGCCTTGTGTAGCTGCTTCCCCCACTGTGTATTCTTTAAAATAATTAAGTTAAGTTGATAATGTTCCATGTGTGAGTTATGAACACCAAGCTTGTTACAGTGATGTATTTTCTTAATTAAGGCACAGAAGTTGCAGAGGCCACTTGCTGCATTTTAACCAACACACCATTGTACAACCAGGTTATCGTATTATGAGTCTGAGATGTCATAACCGACCTGGTCACCTCTCTATTTCATTGGCTGAGAAAAGACATTCTACTCCCTGATTTCCTTTTCCAATATTTTAAGTGGTGCTACCAGACTCGTGCTGGACTACTTGTAACCCATCAGAACATGTCAAGTCGTACCCAATTACAAGATAACTCTTACCCAATTACGAGACAGTTCGTACACACACACACATATATATATATATATATATATATATATATATATATATATATATATATATATATATATATATATATATATATATATATATATATATATATATATATTATATATATATATATATATATATATATATATATATATATATATATATATATATATATATATATATATATATATATATATATATATATATATATATATATATATATATATATATATATATATATATATATATATATATATATATATATATATATATATATATATATATATACATATATATATATATATATATATATATATATATATATATATATATATATATATATATATATATATATATATATATATACATATATATATATATATATATATATATATATATATATATATATATATATATATATATATATATATATATATATATATATATATATATATATATATATATATATACACACACACACACACACACAAAGCTAAATTGCATGGTATAATTGCATGGTATATAAGTCATGCGTCGCTTAACGTCCTAGATACGTTCTTGGAAACATGACGTTAACCGAATTGGACGTTGTCCGAACTTCACATTGTGGACATTGTATTTATACTTACATCTTGATAAAATCACACAGGGAAAGGGAAACAACGTGTGATTTTATCAAGATTTATCTTATCCACATTTTCGTTGTGGATCTACATGTTATACTTACATGTATGTTGAATATTGCAGTGTACTTGTACTGTACAATATTGACTAAATTTACTTGATAAAGTACACAACTAATGAATCACAGAGGTTAAGAACATAAACCAGTAACATAGGCATTTCTTTTATCTATCAAAACATATTATGGATATATAGTTACTGTACTGTATCATCATATGCCTGGCAGCACAATCTATTTTGTTTAAGAACACGTGATGCATGCATGAGCGCGCCCGCTCTAAGGCCACTTACGTCCGCTACGTCCCGTTGTCTGAACAGGGTTTTTTTTTATCCCCATTATTTTCTTATTTTTATGGGCCACGGACGTATATGCGATCGGACGTTGTTCGGATGGACATAAAGTGACGCATGACTGTATATAGTATACTAATAGGTATGGATTATCTCTTGAATTGGGTGCAAGTAATCTTGGGTACGACTTATCTCGTGAGTTGGGTACGAGATGACCCTAACCCCCACCTGACCTTGGTTAGTCGATACCCATGAAGACCACATGTAGCTCTGTGTGTGTAAGATCAGTCATGTGAATAATATTGATCAAGGAAGGTTAATGGCTTGTTGAAATTTGAAATAATTTTAAATTTTCAGCAAAATAAGAGCAGAAAGCACAGACAATGAGGTGAAACTTAGTCTGTTTAGTTGATCACGTTGAATATGACTTTGGGCAGTTAGTGGAGGAAAGAATACATATCCATATGTTTCCGCTTTTAGTTAGTGTAAAAGGATCAAAGCTCATATTATTAACATTAGCTGTGTTCTGAAGTGTTATAGATTATGGTCATATGGATTGTGATCACTGGCAACTCTACTTGAACAACAACATTTCAGGTGTGGCAATGATTGGACTTGGGATTTTTTGAGAAAGGAAACTTTGGAAAAACAAAATACTGTAAATAAGGTGCAATTCCTTGGGTGGATGTGGGTTACTCAACTTACTCTCAAGGTAAAGAATAACTTTCCTTCCTTATAAAGTAATGTAGGTGTGCAAGATAGGTGAAGTATAAGATAATTGTTTACTCCTGTTCCTGCCTGAACCAGCAACTTGAGGACATTATAAATGCTTTTTTTACCTCATGAGAAGCCCAAAAAGTGGACGATGGTAATGTTTTTGTAATATGCATTTAAAAAAAATCTCGCCTGGATATTTTGTTCATGTTGACTATTTTATCTCTCAATTTTGTAGTCTTAAATTTTATCCTTCAATTGAACAGGGATGCTGAAGATGCTGTGCACTCTCGGGATGGATATGACTATGATGGCTATCGTCTACGAGTGGAATTTCCTCGGAACAGCCTACCTGGAGCTGCCAGGGGAGCTTCTGGAAGGGGCAGAGGCAGAGGACCCCCAGCAAGGAGATCTCAGTACAGAGTACTGGTTACAGGTTAGTCTGGAAAAGTGCAGTACTGTAGCTTCATCTAGTTGTTGTGGGAAAAAGCTTAGACTAAAGTGTGATTTTTTTGTGTCCAACTAGAGACAAGTTTAGAGCATAAGTAAAATTTAAGTAGGAATATTATGCTCACCATTTTAGTATATCTAGTAGTGTAAACCCAAGACTTATTGTTTCCATACTGCTACACAAGGTTCACTGTATGCTACCAAATGTAATTGTCATCATGTGGTTGAGGGGTGTATGCAGTCTGAGTCTTGCTTTAGACATGACTGCCTGCTTTTAGAATGACTACCACCTTATACAGAAATTGATCCCCCAGCCCTAAAATTATTGCAGTCTGGAAAGGTGAGCATGATTTTGTTAAGTAAAATTGTGCCAAAAAATATAGTACAGTGGTCCCTCGGTTAACGAACACAATTCGTTCCAGAGGTCGTTCGTTAACCAAAAATTTTGTTAACCGAAACCATTGTTTCATTGGAATTTTGGGTAATTGGTTCCAGATCACCGAAAATTACATACAAAGTAAAAAAAAATGCAGTAAAGTACATTTACTTTGAGGTGTGTATGTAGAAGGTTCCTGGTTGATGATGATGATGATGGGAATTAGAAGTGGGGGTGGAGGAAAAGGGAGTAGAGAAGGAAGTGGGGGTGGAAGAGAAATCACCCCATGCTTGATGCCGTCATTTCACCCATAAAATTTTACGTTCACTAGGTGTAATTCAAGATTATTTTCTTTAAATCAACACCGCACTATATATTGTCAATATGTTAAATAAATGTTAGAATGACCAATAATTGTACTGTAAAAACAAAAACATAAAAATAGTTTTGTTCAAGAGAGCCACAAGCAAGATGTTACCTCCACTGACCAGAGATACAAACTGACGCCTTGGTGGGCGAGTCAAGTAGCTGATTGGCGCACCAAAAACTAGTTTCCTGTACTGCAATTATGTTAAATAAGTGTTAAAATTACAAAAAAATTTAATATAAAACTTGGAAAATTATTGAATAGTACAACCTTCTTGATATTTACTCAAATGGGGACGAATTTAAGCCCTAGAACCAATTACTGTATTGGCGGACTAATATTCCAGCTGGTGAGCAAGCAAAAACATGTTGACATGATTTTGTAAGATTTTTGTTAACCGAATTGAAGATTCTTATGGAAGTTAATTCGTTAACCGAGGGATCACTGTACTCTACTGTATATCATTAAATTTTCGCCAAAATACGCCAGTTGCCTCTCACACAGGTGCACACTATATGCCACTGTAATACTGTATGCAAGTAACCACATAATTTGTATAAATGTCGTATGAATGTGCTAGTGTGCCTTATGAAAAAAGAAATTACTATACGTATATTGTGGAGTGATGTAATAGAAAATTTAAGAGAGTTGGGGTATATTCTGTGTGGGCGATGTAGAGTATATTCGAGTACAGTAAAGCCTTGAATAACAACGGTAATGTGTCCCCCAATATTGCAGTGTAACGTGAATCATTAATTACCATTGAAATAAGCAATAATAATGAGATGCGTTCCCAAGTGTGACCTTTTCATATCTTTTGCGTGGCTTTTTACCCTCTTTCCCCACAAAGCAATAAAATTGGTGAAAATCCTAACTATATTCTTTAAATAATGTTTATGAATGTACCTTATACAATATAAATCAATAATAATATGCACCGCCATTGTATTCATTAGTGTTTACACCCAGGACAATGTATCTACATAAGAAACTGAAGAACATAAGACCCTGGTTGTAGCTGTAATAAAATTAATGTAAAACAGTACTGTACAGTGGTCCCTCGGTTAACGAACACAATTCGTTCCAGAGGGTCGTTCGTTAACCGAATCCATTGTTTCAATGGGATATTGGGTAATTGGTTCCAGCTCACAGAAAAGTACATACGTACAAAGTAAAAAAAAATGCAGTAAAGTACATTTACTTTGAGGTGTGTATGTAGAAGGTTCCTGGTTGATGATGATGATGGGAATTAGAAGTGGGGGTGGAGAAGGGAGAAGAGAAGGAAGTGGATGTGGAGGAGAAATCACCTTTTGGGGGACCAATGCTTGATGCTGTCATTTCACCAATAAAATTTTACGTTCACTTGGTGCAATTCAAGATTATTTTATTTATATTACACTGCACTGCGCTATATGTTTTCAATATGTTAACTAAATTTCAGAATGACCAATAATTTCAATGTAAAAATGCAAAAATATTCAAGACACCAACAAAATAGATGTCCACTCCACTGTCAACAAAGCCCAACTGACGCCTGGTGGCTGAGTCGAGCGTCTGATGGCCGCACAAAAAACTAGCACCCTGTACTCCATATATTATCAATATGTTAAATAAATGTTAAAATGACAAATAATTTTAATATATAAAATGCAAAAATATTAAAGAGCACAACTTTCTTGGTATTTACTCCACTGGAAACGAATGTAACCATAGAACAGATTACTGAATTGGCAGACTAGCCCATCAGCTGATCAGCTTATGCTCACAACAAAACGTGATGTTCATAAGGATTTCGTTAATCAAAGTTTTGTTCGTTAACCGAATCGAGGATTCTTATGGGAGGTAATTCGTTAATCGAACCGTTCGTTAACCGAGGGACCACTGTATATTTTAAGTAATATTATTTAATGTTAATAAATGGAACAATAAAAGTAGCTAACCACTAATGGCAAAGAAAAAAAGCAAGATGGATTGGGGACGCCAACACATGTAATTGCGTACATGTGAAAACATATCATTATTTCTCTACATAAGAATATGAAAGCAACACTTATTACTGTTCATATATGTTTTAAATAATCCTTGCTAATGTAAAATAAAAATTCTACTCACCAATGGTGGTAAATTCTAAAACATAAGGACAACCAATGATGTGTGAGTTTTTACTCATGATTCGGATTTTCCCCCGAGGGGGCTAGTTTATTGGGCACCCCCTTACATCCTGTGCAAGGTGAAGCGCAGAAGCGTTTACAGTGCCCTTCTGGGAAGAATGCAAAGTTCATACTTGCCTTTATGACTCGTACATTAAGGGCGTAAAAGCCCGAAGGGTCATAGGTTTTGTCAAGTTACATAAAGTGAGAGAATGATGAGTGTGTGGGGGGAAAGTTCCCGGTACATTTCATCTGTTTATAGCAAAGTGTGGCAGGTCCCTAATAATGTCAAGTGCCAGGCCTGTGACTAGGAGGAGGGATATCTGGTCAGGGAGGGAAGAGGTGTTGGTAACAGCTGGGGACCTGTAGGAGGAGGAGGTCATAGAACAAGTGAGGATGTAGTGAGAGAGGGTGTTAGAGTCGGGTTGGCCACAAAGTTTACAAACAGTGCGGCCAGGCTCAGGGTTGCCAATATACTGCCATAGGTACCTGTACCCTAGGCCCAGTCTCATGTATATAATCTGTTGAGATCGAGTCAGGGATTGATACTGTTTGTAGTGGTGGTTGTCGTCACTGGTTACAGCGTCATAGTGGCATAGTGTTATGCTACCCCGTTGTTTCAGGTGTGTCCAATTTTCGTTGAATGCCTCTCGTTGTGTGGCGTGTATGCGAGATTTGAGATGATTCAGGGAGAGGGCGAGAGTGGCTTCAATATCTTCTTCTTGCGTGGCTTCTTTGGCAAGCCGATCAACAGTGTCACAGGCAGTTATTCCTAACTGTGACGGGATCCAAATAAACTTGACACGGATGTCATCAGTTTGTTCTACCCCGGAAACGGCGGCTAGGGTGTGTTGGGCGGCAGGGGAGGGTAATTTGAGCCTTGCTAGTGCAGAAGTGCTGTCACTGATTATAAGGAGGTTCCGGCGTTCAGTGCGAGCATAGGCCGCCCCCTCATGAATGCCCGCGAGGATGGCTATGCTTTCAATATCAGTGGAGGAGGCCCAGTCGTGGACCCTGATTTTCCTGCAGGCCTGGCGCTCAGGAATCCACACAGCTGCTCCAGCGCTGCCCAGCGTGGTAACAGACCCATCACAGTAGACGAGGATAGGAGGGTGGGAGGTCTTTAGAGAAGAGGCGACATCATTAATCTGCTCAAGGCAGTTAAGTTTGAGCATATACCTCAGTTGGGTGGATTTACGACCAGGGAAGGTGTGGGCGACAACATCAACACACGGGGAAGTCCAAAGCGGTAGAGGCGGATGAGTGTACTCGTGAGGGAGAGAGGTCGAGGGTTTACTCATGATGAAGTCATCAGGTTCAACTCTGGTAGAAGCTGTAGCTTTCCATAAAGATGTCATAGTTGTTGCTGAAATTGTTACTGAACCTGAAGTTGCTGATGAAGCTGCTTATGATGCTGAATTTGATGGTTTAGGCCTTCGAATAATAAAGCTGTCAAAAGAACCTTGCACAGTTGCTTTCTTTCCTCATTATACATCTTTATGTAGAATTCATATGCATTTTTCATGTCCGTTAATTTTAATGCTTTGTTCTATCAATGGATCCACTTCAGAAAATATGTTCATTGCTTGCTCCATATAATATCCACAGACCTCTCACCCTCTTCATATCGTTTTAACACCTAGTTTCTCGGCTAAGCTTATATACAGGGTACTTTCTTTTAGCTTTTAAACCAGCACTACCATTACCTGCTCTCTTGCTCATGTTGAATAGGAACACAAAAATGCCGTAAGAAACCTGAGAATGTTTTTCTCCCTTTCCTGTTCAGATGAGTGAAAACAAAGGTCTGCCAGCTGCTACTGTTTATGCTAGTGATGCTGGCATCACCACTCACAAGCCCGGCAGCCTCCGTGCGCAAGGCGTGTTTTTATTTTATTTGCATAATACATATCGGGATTTAGATATTACAGTAAAACCTCGATTAACCAACCACATACGAGGGGAAGGGGCCGACGGATAATCGAAAAGGTCGGTTAATGGTACATAAAGTCTATGGAAGTAAAACACATTTTCAAAGTACCTTTTCCCTAACCTACCTCATTCAAGTCCCTCTATTCATTTTTGTTCATTTGCCATTCATATTTCAATAGAATTTGCTTTAAAACATTAACCACTTTAGTCAATAAATATGAACCAGCACAGAAACCGTGAATAAAAAATGGGAAAGTCAAAGAACATATATCATCAAAAAAATTGTGACCAAGTCCCAGGTTGCTGATCTGACTTTCTGCCTCATTTACACACAATTGCAGGGTCTCAATTGTTTCTCATACTATTGACAACACAACATACCTACAGGTACATTGTTTCTCACTCTTGATTTTTTTTCATTTTTGCATTTCTTTATGGTTCTTTATTACTATTATTATTATTATTATTAGCAGTCCTATATTAACCAGGGTCTTAAATATGAATGGTCGTTAGTAGAACCGTTGTTATCGAAGGCTTTCCTGTACAGTAGTAAGCAGTTTGGCAACAATGATTCACTTGACTACTGTATACCTTAGTGCTCACATTTAATTCTAAGAAGTGTTGACACCCAAAATTTGTAGTTTAGATCACCTTACTCAGTTCTTATATAATGGAGGGATTGTATGTAAAGAAATGGGGTGAAAAAGGTACAAAACTATGTCTGGGTGTGTAGCTGGGGAGAGGAGGTCACGGAGGAGTGCCGGCCGGACTGAAAGGACAACTCTCCCCCCTTATCAACTTGTGATTCCTTTATAATGACAGTATGCACTCTTACCATAATTCCCATATTATTTACGTTCACTTGGTTCCGGGTTAATGAACATTTTCGTAAAATAATAAATTTTTGTGGAAAAAACCACTCGACCCTAGATGAGTTAGTCATACTAAATTCCTGGCAGCTTTGTTTATATAGCACAAACAGCTGATTGCCCACACTGTCCTCACCACAACCTATGTCTTTAATGCAGAACTTATTAAATGATATTGTGTATTTATTAGCATCTAATAAATAATATGGTGTTTTATGCACCTGCACATACGTACACTGGTTTATTAATTAATCAGTTGTCTTATTGTACAAGTCTGCTTACCATATCTTTGCTTCAATAAAAAAAATACTGTATATTTTATGAATATACACTGAAAGTTTGTTCAAGTGTGGTTTTGAGGATCATGGTGCCTTTTATAGTGAAGTTGTAGACCTTTTAAGTTCTAAAATGAATTATATTTCTGCAACACTATCAGTTAAGGGAGACCATTTGCTATTATCTACTCACCCTGTATGATGCTGTAGTGGAAAAAACATTTGTGTGAGTAAAAATCATAGATTTACTTTTTAGTTTATTACCCCAAAAAAGATTCTGTAAGTATACTGTGATCTAATTTGTTCTTTCTATTAACAGAATCTTTGTCAAAAAATTCTTGTGGTAATACTGTAGAAATTTTTATATTTTAGGTTTACCTCCAACTGGCAGCTGGCAAGATTTGAAAGACCACATGAGAGAGGCGGGTGATGTGTGCTATGCTGATGTGTACAAAGATGGCACAGGTGTTGTGGAATTCCTCCGCTATGAGGACATGAAGTATGCCGTTAAGAAGTTAGACGACTCTAAGTTCCGTTCACATGAGGTGAGGACCTGGAACGCAACTCCCGGTTATTTCTATGTTGCAAAGTGTTTATGCATACTGAAACATTTCCCACCTTCTTAGATTGTGGTTGTTTTGTTATGTTATTCACATATTCAGAGTGTGTTAATCCTTCTTCAACTCATCTTTCAGTTAAATCTTGATGATGCTTAAGGAAACTCATTTACCTACCTATTTCATGGTTGTAGTCTGGCAATAACTGAGATATATACGGATGGTTCTACTTTCATCTGTTCTCAAGCATTGCAGGAATGAGTTGTGCTGATAGTTATGGTTTTCTGTAAATCTGAAGAAAAAAAGGCTTGTAAGGCCCATGTTATGTAAAGGGGCAGCTAAGTGTACAAATGTGTGTGTTTTTACGGTGACAGTGATGCCAATACAGTAATGTCAAGCAGTGAGCTCTCATTATTCACCCGCATTGCTGGATCATTTTGTGTTTAGCCTTTAATGGTATCTTACATTGGGTTAGTTTCCAGGCCTTAGAAGCACTCCATGGTGTACCTGGGTTGAGTGTTCATGACCCCAGGTGCATTTAATGACTGGGTGAGCCCAGGTGACTATTGGGTGACCATAATGGCCCCCAAGTGAATAAGTTTAGTTCTTAATGACCCCAGTAGCTCATAGGTTGACCCACGGGAGATAACAGATCATTTCAAAGTTGCTCATGGTGATGCAGAGTGAGACATCAGTGTACTTAATGATGACAAGTATCTAGTAGGTGCTTAAAATGTTTCAAAGTGAGTCACAGCTGCTCCTGGAACCCCCCCCCCCCCAGTGAATCAGTGGGACTTATAACACCTGGTTCTGATGATAACTCCAGGTGACATAAGTTTTAATAATGAACCGAGATGCTCCTAATTACCTTAATGAATCATATGCGTGTGATATATATGTATACACAAGAAAATCAAGTGCATTTAGGGTGTTCATAACGTACCTATTGTTTGTGGCAATAAAGGTCAAGGTCGGTTGGTACTGGCATAAAGTTTTCCCAAAATTATTTCCCTTTCAATTTTATGCTTCTCATTATATATTTTCTATGACCATGAGCTGAATGCCACATACTGTATCTATGAATGCAATTTTATTTATGTGACTGAAATTGTGTGGCTACTGATGTTGGATGTTATTAGTCATTGGGCATAAATTAATCCCATTCAGTGCCATGCTTTGTAATGAATCTGATTCTTTGAGTTCTGATTGTCTGAAGTTTACCTTAAGATTTCATGAATATAAAAGCTTTGAATAATCTCTAGATCGTCGTTTAGAACTGACTTGAGAAAACGAGACTTATTTGTCAATTTTGTTTTATTGCAGGGTGAAAATTCTTACATTCGTGTGAAAGAAGATTATGGAGGATCTAGTCCAGCCTCGGGTGGTGGTGGCGGCGGACGTGGGCGGTCGAGGTCCCGGTCACGCTCACCCAGGGGTTACCGAGGCTCTCCCACTTATTCTCCAGTGCGGCGATCGTACTCACGGTCACCCTCGCGGTCTCGGTCAAGGTCCCGAGAGCGCTATTAAAATGCACTCATTTGGGAGTGGATTACCTGGTTAAAGTCTTGGGTAGAACTGACTTCGGTGAAGAATGTCATAATCCCATGACTGAACCTGGTGAAGTTACCCAATTATGTGATGGGTGCCAAGAATTAAGGCTGCAGCAACCTATTCGGGCTCATCTTAAAATGGAGCACTGGTCTCCATACTGACCTCGGATGTCCTGAGCTGACCTGACATTGTCTCCGGACCCAATACAGCCCTTGGCACTGGACTGGAGGACGTCAGGTCTGCACTGTTGCCAGTCAAACGTCCCACTTGCCCTTTGGTCAACTGGCTGTCCTTATAATTTCAGATATTTCATTGAAAGGTCGTCAAATGTGTGATAGTGTGTGGCACCATTACTCATAACTTACAGTTCTGAAGGATCAAGTTAGTTAGTGAAGTGCCACATTTAAAGAAAGTTTGGACAGCCAGCTAAAAAAAATAGTGGCACATTTGTTTTGTGAAAATGCAGCCTTGTGAATTTTTTTTGTACTTTTTTTACGATTTTTTTATTAATGGTGACTAACAAAGATTTTCAATTTACATAGGTGTATGCAGTCTATTCTGTGGTCATTGTTCAGTATTAAGGAAAGTTTCAATGTCTTCGTATACAAAGGGCAAGTTAAATTTTAGATTTAATGCAATGCTGTATTATGTTTACAAACGATAAATGTTCAGAAGATAACATTGTTTAGTGGCAACTATGCCATTATATATTAAGTTTATTTAGTGGCTGCTATGCCATTTCAGTTTAATTGTTTAAGTACTGTGCTAACTGTTATCTTATGTTTTCACATTCCATTCTGACTCCTCATCTGAACAAACCTTATATCTGATATTTTTCTTAGTATTCATTGTGTAAATACACCTCGTACATTTTAATAAAAATGTTCAATAAAAAATTGTCTTCAACTGGATTTTGTATTGAATGAAGCTTTACCTGTAGGTTATAGACATCGCATTACTCGAGACTAATTGTTTGTTTTTCTCTCTACACAGTCCCGTAGCTAGTAGGCTGCTGCAATATGGCCATCCTTCCTGCCAAATTATCGTAGATTTTGGAAAGCTAGGATTTGAGAAGTGGAGGAGGAGCATTCACAGTGGCATGGACGAGAGGCTCAATCAGGATCAGAGGATCAGGAGGATACAATGCTGCAGCAAGCTAGCAAGGGGAGGAACACACTAATGGATTACTTGGATGACAATGGATGAAATGCTCTCATAAGGATCTCACACTTGGCCTTACCAAGGAGACAAAAGGATTATGCGGGGACAGGTTCTGCGCTTGGAGGAACTCACTGGAGGATCATGGATCACTTGTGGATAAGGATTTGAATCGGTCAAAGGATTCACCAAGTAGCAGAGGACTGGATTTGTGAGTTAAGAATTCACCTTCCCTCCCCTCAATTGCCTGAACTTGATAAATTAAAGTCCCGCCATAGTCCTCTAGTTAGTACAAAGTTAAAGTTGCCAGTCTCTGACATGCATATGAAATCCTCTAGGTTTTTTTTTTTTTTTTTTACTTCATTGGGGTGGTTCAAGGAGAGATTTTGATAAAATATGAGATTTTATTGATCACAGAAATATTTCCTCAGTTACAAATAAGACGTATATTTTATATCGTAAGGGGAATTTGGCAAGGGCGAACGATCTCGGTACTTATTAATCAGATTTTCTTTTCCAGCAGCATTAGCCTTGTGGGACATCTGTTAAACAGCAGTGATTCATCAATAAAATATTTATGTTATTCAGAGTTTCTTTAATTCATGCAAAAATTGGGTGCTCCTCCGTCACTATATAAAAAAACAATACCGATAGCCAGTGTGGCTGTGTCCTAGGTGTACAAGTCTTAGCAGACAGAATATACTACCAAAAATGCTAGACTGACAGAAAATTGTAGTAAAAGTACAAGAATTAAAGCCTTTTTGTATAAAGGTGATATTTAGTATATTAATTTTCCTTAATATGCTATTTATGATGACATAGAAAGGTAGCCTTCGCAGTCACACCATCCCATCCATATCTCGTTCATTTCATGGCAATGCTCGCTAGCTACGTACCTCATATTTGTCTCCTGTAGGCATTAAAAATGTGTTATGTATCCGAAAATGACAATAAACAAAGGTGTTCATCCTCTCTGATCTGATTGAAGACTAGGATAGTTAATTGAAAGTAAACAGTACTGTAAAGCAGGCTGCTACCGTCACAAAATGGGCTGGGGGCAAAAGCATATCCTCGGTAGTGTTGCAATAGATGCCCTTAGCAGCACTCTTGAAAGAATATTTTGGCATTTTTCTGAGAAACCCCTTGGTGTTGAGGGGTTTAGTGTGATAATTTAGATACTCCTACTAGGATTGATGTAGGTAGTGTTTCTGCAGAAACATTATCATTATTTATGGGGTGCAGCGTGATAAACTTGTACTGTAGGTTGCATTTTGATTTCGATCAAATACCAAGACTAATATGCTCATCATATAAAAATTTAAATGGATCTCATTTTGATAAAAAGGCTGGATAATTTTTAGTCCTATGAGTCATTTAACTCACCTTAAACTCTTAATATTGATTACTGTTAATGTATGAATACTAACCCTGCCCCTACAGTCTTGATATCATTGTTATGGTTCAATGTTTTGTTGCTAAGAAGTGAACTTATTTGGTACCCCCTGCCTCTACAGATTGCAGTGTTGCTAAGAGAAGAGTTCATCCCAGCTTATGAAATAATACTGTATCTCCAAGTTCAGCTACTAGTAGGTACTGCTAGATTAACTTATGCAGATTCCCCCCAAAAAGACAAATTATGGTAAATTTATGCCTCTTTTAGGTCTTGATGAATTTTTACAATAAAAAATGAAAATTGATTTGGATACAATTCATAATCTGAATATTTTTCTGACGAGCCTTCAGAACTATTAAGGATTGTTTTTTGTTAGTACAGTAGTGTTGGATTGAAGATATAATTAGTGGAAGATGAGTAATGAAAGTGTATAGTACAGTAGTTATTGGTGGATGGTAGAATGGAGGATAAATATATTGTGATTTAGGGAATGCAGTAGTTTACATTATTAATACATTATAATAAGTGTAACTAGAGTGTATATACAGTACAGGTAAAGAGGGTAATGAGAACTATCAGATGTATTACAACATGCATCCTCTTACCACTTATGATCTCCCACGCCTAACTGAGTGACACTAAGTTGCTAAATGCCACGACTATTATCCATAATATATTAATGATTATTTATGTACAGTACAATAATAAACTACAAAGTGAAATACTGTATACATGCATTATAGATACTGTAGGGTGTCTCAGAAAAATGTCCCTGCCTGCTCCCTCCAACATAGTGTCTCGGTGAACAGGTAGGGTCTTTTTTCTGGAGCACCCAACATACTTTGATTTTAGTACAGTTTTGAAGTAAATCTGATCTTTGAAAAGTTAGAATTTTTTTTATGAGATGTGGGAAAGTTTTAATAGGATTGGATATACTGTAGTACACTCAACTTTTTGCACTGATTTCAAAGATGGTAGTTGAGCTGCTTGCTTACTATGGCATTTTCCAGGGATGCATTATTGTGAATAGGAATAGTGTACCTCTTAAATAGTTGAATTAATTAGGGGAGTGAGATGTTTTTTATTTGGTCATACTTTTGGGGGGATGGGGTGGTCACGGGTAATTAATAGTGGATAATATGTCTTGTCTAAGTTAATTTGGAGTAGCCTCTCAAGTAAGCAATATCTGTAGTCAAGATTTTAATGTAAAAAAAAAAAACTAAGATGGTATATAGTACAGGTGTACGGGGAAACAAAAACACTATTTACAATATCCTAATCTACAATAGTGTGCATTAATGATGCTGATATATTAAGACCACTCCCCTATTTGTGATGTAAACAAACTTACATTAACGATATGCATCGTCCCGCCAACTGGAAAGCATCATTCACTTCATTTGTCAGCCGAGGCGTAATCTACCTGAACGTGGCCATGTGGTGAACTACAGTCCAGGCGTTGTTTCTTCTTGGTTGTGTGTGTAAGATTTAGAGCTTAATGTATATTGGTCATTATCGGTGTTGTTATTTAGCATCTATTTTTTTTTTTTTTTTTTACAGTGAGAGGACACGTTTTACTGTTTTGGTGATTGTGAAGTGGTTTTTATGTTATATGTTATTGTTTTTCCCTTACAGTTACAGGAAATTACAAAGTTTTAGTGTACTGTACTATACAGGTACAGGGGTACTGTGAAGAGCAATGCCAGCTTTAATGACTGAAGTGCTTTTCTTTGCTTTGGTGATTATGCAGTGCTTTGCTCTTTTTGTGACTGTCAACTGAGCAGTGTCTGGAGGTTAAGCAGCATGAGATTCCCCAGAGGCTGTGAGGGAGTCGGAGTGGCATCTCCACTCCACCTGCAAGAGTCCCCTTACCCTCAAAGGGGACATGTGATGCCAACCAGGCTTGTTTTTAATGATGTGGTGAGTGTTGTTTAATTGTGTTGTAGTGCTGGTAGTATTCTGGGAACTTTTTTTTTGGTGAGACATATAGGTGTCTGACTGGCCAGGACCTTGTCCCATTGAACCCCATGTTATAATGAACCTGACCTATGGTATTTCAACCTGTGATTATATAATTTTGCAGTACAGTAAGTCCTTGTCATTCGCGGGGGTTAGATTCCAAGGAATGGCGCAAATAGACAAAACCACAAATAGCAACTATTCTACTTTAGTGCACTACTGTACAGTACAGGTACTCCTCGACTTATGACCTACTTGACTTACAACCACCTGGACATATGACCGCCGCAGTCGTACCAAAATTTTTTCAAATGTATTTTCGAGTCCCGATGTTAGTAATTGCGCTGTGTACTAACAAAATTTTCGTTTGTAATTCCCTTTAAAATGGCTGGCAAGCTTAAAAGTGACAGTTTCGTGGTGCTGAGAAGAAAAAGAGACACCCATTTTAGATTTTCTATGTATTAATTTTGCATTTTCAACTTACGACCAATTCGACTTACAAACTGGATTTGGGTCCCTAACCCTGCCGTAAGTCGGGGACTGTATACCTATACCAACCGACCAGTCGCGGTAGCACTCTTACTCTCGTTTAACTTATCCAGTAATTGAAATTTCTTTGTCTGGGTCATCATTGACTTCTGCCTTTTGCATTTCATTCCACTAGCACTGACACTAGGCAGTCTTTTAGGGGCCATTTCACACAGAAACACTTAAGTTTTGAGAGTACAACACGAGATGCTGCGTCACAGGCAATAGTTGAGTGCAAACAAAGGGAGAGGAGACGCTGCGTAGGGTGACTTGTTGTGCTGCGGGAGAAGGCTCGCAAGCCAACCACCATAGCCACCATCTGCTTACCGTGAATGGCAAGGATCTACTGTACTATCTCTATGTATACTGTATGCCTTATAAATAGAAAAGACAATGCAAGGTATATTTTTTTTTTATGCAAAACTGTGGTGCTGTGGCTGAGTGGATACAGTGTCTTTTGTCCATTTGTGGAGGTGAAAGCTGTCAATTACAGTGTTGGCCATACCATCCTTGTGTATAGAAGGCTTAATATACAGTGTTGCATTCACACTGTCCGTAATGAGCAGTTATGCCTCTGGGACCCATTTTTGCATTTATCTTACACTACTGAGCAATGTCTGGTGTATTCAATATCTTTCACATCCTTGTTCTCTTTTATTTAAATTTTTTATATCATATCCTTCTATTATTTATAGTGGTAACTTGAATGTCTACATTAACATCTTTATAATTTATATTGTTTACTTGGTGTAGTTATATAATTTGCATAAGTATAATGTTGTTGAACAGAACTGGCCATTCATAGCTTTGGGGCTACCAAGTGTTTCAGGCTAAGCAGCTTTTTCTGACATGTTCTCCCACTCAGAAATGTTACAGTACTTTTTTCTAACTAAACATTTCCCTGCAGTTGTATCTCCTGTCTTTATCATTTATCTCTTTGGTAGGAAGAGGGTGTACTGAGTGAGGGTCCCTTCCTAGCCAATAAAAACCTGTTTAGTTTAGTTTTTAATACTGGATAGGTTTGGTTTGTTTCCTGATAGTACAGTATAGGGGAATTAATAACCACAATCTCTCTCATGTGTTTTTTCTTGTCAGTGAGGTTCGCATACATCCTCTTGAGAAACCTTATACAACTAATTGAGAAACATTATACCCAATAGTGTTAAGATATCAAGAGGAATAAAAATCATCAACTGGGTGACTAACAATGTAACAAGAAGTAAATTTTCAGAAATGTTTTATTTGTACATAAACAAAGAAATACAAACTGGATAGGAACATTGACTGTAAAGTTTTGTATTACAGTGTTGTCAGATTTAAAGTACAGTATATATATACAGTGTGGGTGAGGAATAAATGACACGCAGCAATCTTGGTATGGACAATGTGTGTTGTGTAACTACTGTAGTGATTATTCCATGTACAGAATGCATTGATGTTGTGTAGTACAGTATGTATGATGTATTTTTTTTATATGTTGATGTGTAGTATGTATGTTTTATAATGATATATGATGATAATGACAGACTTTTACCCGAGTTTTAATATGTGTCGGTAATTTCTCGCCCACCCTGTATAAAATGCCCCTTAATTAATATATTTTCATTGTAAATAACATCTAGGAAGAGAAGTCTATCAGAATCAATGCAAAAATGGTTTCATCAGTCAAATAAATATGTTGATACAGGTTGACAACCCTTTATCCGAAATTCCGAAAACCGAAGAGCTCTAAAAACCGAAAGTTTTTTGTGGGGCTCTTTTTTTTTTTTTTAACAGGGATTATTAGCTCAGCCAGGCACAGATCACTGACCCACATCGGGGCCTGGGGGACAAAAATGTAATAGTAAAAAGTAAAAGTAAAAATAATAATTATAATAATAATAATTATTCATAGTAAATAAAATTTTTAATAAAAATACACCAAAATAAAAATGATTACAATAATAATAATAATAAAATATAATAATAAAATTAATAATAATAATAATAACAACAATAATACTGTAATAATAAAATAATAATACAGTAAAGAAATACAAGAATGAAAAAAAGATCAAAAGTGAGAAACACGACCTAGACCTATGAATTATTATTATTATAATTTTTATTATATTTTAGACCCCCAGGCCCCAATGTGGGTCAGTGATCTATGCCCGGGTGGGCTAATACACATAAAAAAAAAAAAACCTAACCATTCTGAAAACCGAAAAATTCCGAAAACCGAAATGCCTCTGGCCCCAAGGATTTCGGATAAAGGATTGTCAACCTGTATTAATATTACAGGTATAAAAATGGACATAGCAATCACACAACTGTACCTGTAATCCACTTAGTCTTACTTGATAACATACTATTTGCCACAATGTTGCAACAAATCCTAGACAACTCTTAAATTCAGACCAGGTGATTAGTCTCTGTGACATGCTACAATAGTATACCAGATGATAAAGGCATTTATTAGGCTGACACTATAAAAAAAGGGTTATTTTAGAATTCTCACTAGAGCATTTGAGTTAGTGCATACAGATCTAGTGTGGGAATATGGGGAAAAAACAACGTTGAATTTGATGAATAAGCTGTAGAAAGGCTGTGATCTGTGCAGGTGCTTTGACAAATTAACAGAACTCCCCACATGAGTAAATATGATTTCAGTCAGTTCATTAAATATTGCAGCCATTGTGTTAACCTAAATATTTCACTCTATTATTGTTTGACAAGATTTCTGCATTTCTGTACAAGGATTGAATCTTAAAATGATTATATAGCAAGTTTGTAGCTGCTGGCTGTTAATATGCAGTAAGCCATTTGGTTTTATGAATGCGTGTGTGTGTAGATGATGACAAAATGAGGCTATAACTAACTTTGTGATATCAATTGGTTCTGATTAAACTTGTTCATAATCACAGCTAATCCATCCCAATATGAGAAAATGGTAATAATGATGATGTGCCAACACTGACAGGTGGAATGTCTTGTACAGAGCAGCTGACTTAAGAGTTTTATTGTGTTTAAAATGCCTGAGACACCATTAACCTTCTTAAGTAAGGTAAAACTTTCCTTACAGAAACCACATTCCCCAAATTCATTATTTAGATTCTGTAGGTTTGGGTAACAATCCTCAAACAATATCTTCATGTGTGTTAATCACTAAGTGTGTGAATCTCCCCTCAAAAGAAGACAAACATGATTCCAGACTGATCGAAAGATCAATTAATCCCATCTCGGCTTGTGAAGGTCAAAGTTAAATAAATAGAACCTGAAGTTACCTAAAAAGCTGTGTTTGAAATATGAATGAAAGATTAGTTATCTATTTTACATTAGTTTTCAATGATAGCAAAAATACAAAATCCTACTGAGAAAGTAGCTTTGTTCTTGAATAATAATAATTAACTGATAAAAATTATAACTAACAAAAATAATGACATACTGTAATATTCATATCTCACAGCAATCAACACAGACTAAGCTACCTTTCTGGACATGCTATGAAGTATATAGTGTGTGTGGTGGTGGTTTTATTACTTTATATCTGTTCTTGTAGATGGTCACGACCACTGTCCTCATCAGTTTCAATATCATTGCTGACCTCGGCAATATGACCTCTCTCTTCCATGAGGGGCAGACCCATGCTAGAGCTTCCAGAGCCTGGGGAGGGTGCCTGTATTTTATCTACATCCTCCTGATCGCTCTTTAGCAGTGCTTGTTCCTTTGCCTCCCTCAACAAGTTCTGCAGCTGGTTAGGGTTTGGTTTGGGGAGATCTGCCATGAGAGCAGGATCTAACTCATCTTCTCCAGGTTTTGCATAGGCCATATGTTCCTCAATTGTGTAGCCATAAAGTTGAAAATCCATTTTGTACTTTTTATATAACTCCAGAACTTGTGCCAGAGTGAGTTCAGAGAAGTACTGTCTGCGGACTTCTGGTGTGAGGTTGTAGACAACATAGTCGGTGGTATTGAGTGGACCAATACCAGCTCGCTTCCAAGCCCATTGTACATCATGCCACAGTGTCTCATAGTGTGTTATCATATTGTATCCTATATGGCAGGGTGTGCAGTGGCGCAATGTGGGCCGCCAGGCTTCCTCCAGGTGATGTGTATCATGATCTAATAAAAACCTGATAAACTCTTCGAAGGTCGGCCCTTTGGTGTGTGCTGGCGCCTTACGATAGGTCCGAACAATACGACGTCCGTAGTGCAGGTAGCCATGGGAGTTTTTCTCTGGGTCCTCTAATACTTGGCGATAAGATGACAGAAGTCGGTCAAAGGGGTGACGTGCCATTAAGATCGTCACTGATTTTGCCAAGACAACCGGGTACTTCTCCCATGAGCTTAAGTATGGGAAGTTTTGTTTGGCAATGGCAGCTGGGGGTTCATGTAATCGATATAATTGCTTCTCGTCAAACCTACCCGTAAGCTGGAGGAAGCGACGGGCCAACCACTGTACCCCATTACGAGCTGCTGGGCACACTGCCAGGTGATCTTTCTCTGACACAAACAGTGCTTGGTAAAGTGGAGATTTGGGCATAAAGGCCAGTGTAGCTCTTTCCTCCTCAGTGATATTGGTAGACTCTCCGGTAGACCATAAACCCAAATTCCACCTGACAAGAAATAATTAATGGAGATAAAAAAAATACATTACAGGTGTATTATATTATTCCCTAAATTTCACTAAATACTGACACAAGAGAATGTGCAAATTATTTCCTTTGTTTCCATGATGTATAAAGCGAATTCAGGTCTATGGCCCTACTATTGCAATCGGTGGCAATGCCAAAAAGACTGCAAAATTTCAGAAATAAGGCCTAATGGTGTGACACAAATGTGGATGGTGTAAATCAGACTTGAATAGTGTGGCTTAGGAATGGGTGGTGTGTATTAGGTTTGGTAATAGTCAGTCAGTCTGAAGGATGGAGGTTTATTTTTACCTTCTCATGTGGAACCTGCTCAGACCAGACCTGTAAAGTAGCAAGTTAATATGCTGACTGCCACAGAGTGCTCACTGTCATGTGTACCTCACTTACTGCATTACAATAAAATAAAGAAAAATTTATTCTGAAACTGCACAATGATATCGCCCAGACATACCTTGCACAAGCTTTATGTAGAATGTTGAGGCGTTGACGTTGTTCCTCCTCCATGATGTCATCAGAAGGTGGGGTTACCGGAGTAGTAGTGGTGGTGGTGGTGGTGGTAGTGGTGGTCGTAGATCTCCGTGTAGGTCGTGAGGCGCGGCTATGCCCTCCACCAGCACGTGTCGTCAGGTGTCCGATATTTCTAGAGCCCGGCCGTTGTGTTGCTGATTCCGAGTTGCCGAAGCGACCGAGCGAAAACTTCTTCTGAATTCTGGTGAGGAATCCCTGTGAAGTAATCCAGAGTTAAGAGCATTTGTTCTGGCTGTTACATTAGATTATTTTCCGGTGTCATAATGCAGAACTGATGATGTGATTTCAGTCCATTTGGCATAAGTAAATTTGATTAAATGTGATGATTCTATTTCCCAATTTTTCTGCATCTGATAGGGAAATTATTCACAAGGGCTTTATCTATGTGACCTAGTGATGAACTGTGTGACATAGTGGTGAACTGTGACTAAATATTGTCACCCACACCTAAGACACTGACCCTCACCTGAGACAACCACCTTTACCTGAAAACTCACCTGGGTCATAAAATGGAGGAGACAGATGATAACAATCGTCTGGAGGAGGGCGGGGAGACTCTTGTTCACCTTACGGATAACTCCAGGGAACACCATCTTGCCAGGGACACTCAAATCTGTAGGGGACAACACGGTAACTGACGACGAGCTGGCAAGTTACTGTATATGGACGGGAAGGGGTGATGGAGGAGAAGGTTCGGACGAAAATGCAACTTTAATCTCTCATATTATCAAGTCGAGGAAACATCTATAAGCTTTTATATTATGAAGTCGATGAAATATCTTAAGCTTTTATATGAAGTGGATTTGTGAGTAGTTATTGTGTGTGAAGACAGTTTACTCAATGGAACAGTTATTGTTAAGGTGACTGGTAAAAAATTACAAACATTTAATATGACTGGCAGAGTTACTAATAGTGAATGTAGCTGTACCTATCTCAGTGTAATGCTACCCTCACACACACACACACACACACAAATATATTCAGAATTATATAACGCTATAACAGTATCTTGACCTGTATAATTTTGTCCATTCGTCTCTTATGTTAACACGTTTGCCAAGCTGAACACCTGCTATGATGAGATAAAACGTTATCTCTTGGCTTGGTGTGTCCGTGTCTTGAACAACTTCAAGTAGTGACCCCTGGGCTGATAGTGCAGGTAGGTATTCTCCTTGCTGGCATACTTCTTCCTGACATTTCTTTATTATCTTATAAAGTTTCGAGTCTGGTAGTGGTGGTTGATGGCGTCTCACGTTTTCTTCAGTCGGTACAGGAGTCGGTTTCAAGTTGTGCGTTACCCCACACTAAGAAGACAAGTGACAACATATGACTAAGAAAATAACTCCTTGTTATTCTGTCGACAACAAAAATACATCTACCTCTTCCGACTACTAGATCTTCTACCTCCTCCTTTCTATTACCAACATTGCCGGTCATATGACTCTCTACACAAGGCCCTGACTTGTTCTCAAACTGGTACTGTTAGGAGACGTTTGGTTGGGGTCTGGGCGGCCTTGTGTACTGGACCAAAACAACCTCAGTCCCGAGATATTCCGTTAAGGAGGATTTCAGGAAGGACACTTTCCCGCTTCAGTCCCCGCTACTCCACCTTCCTGCCAAGAAATTACTTGTAGGTAATTTCAGTGTTTATCAACATCTTCGTGACAAGTGTAAAGTACAGTGGTGGAGGTGAACCACTGCATTTGTACTCTAACTTCTCTCTTGAATAACGGCAGCGTTAGATGAGCGACTTGGCACCCTTACATCACTATATACCTGAGGAGGCAACATTTTCAAATATCACGTGGCAAGTTTACGGCAATAACTTACCAATATTTTTTTCTCACATGACTGACGCATCGGGATCCGCTCCTGACAATCGATTCAATTTTAAGACAGCAGATTCGTAGTTACACCCAAAGGCACCAACACAAACTAAGATAAGAAACACAGAAAAATACATGTCCTGCGGTAACAATATCTAACACTTGACCTCTACAACCATCGGTAAGGCAGGAGTTCCACAGTAGACGTTAGCAAGTGAAGCGGAGCCCAGGCACACCGCGTCATTAAGGAAAGCCGGAGGAATTCGCTTCGACTATTCAGAGGTCCCATCTGCTGAGGTCTGCTCCGTTATTACCCGGATCAAAGCCAAACAGTATTATTTCATGTCAGGTTGAGAGATGAAGACAGATTTTTACATCCATTTCAGTTTATTTGTTCCTTTATCCATTATTTCATCAGTTATCACCAAAATCAAGATATAAGATCACTAAGTACACCAGCAACCCTTAACAGACAAACCCAGCGATACTTCTCTTATAACCTTTATTAAATACTGTTTAAGCTTTCTCTTGTAGGACGGGGTGCGGTGGACGAGTGGATACAATGATCAGTTCCTGTCCCAAGAGACGTTGGTTTGAGCCTCCCGTTCACCCTTGATTAGGTAAGATAACTGAATTGTTAAAAGTTGTGTTGTTTATATTAAGACCTTGGCAAAAAAAATTATCTGTAGAAATGGACCCCAAGGAAGTGTGATCATCTACCTACAATTATATCCTGAGTTGACATCAGCCACGCGATGACCCCGACTTCTGGCCCCTCGCTAAGGTCTTCAAAGTAACGTTAATAGAGGGACATTTCTACAGGTTCAATGGGGTAGTGACGTAGGTGTAGAGGGGGGCAGCTCTCACCCCGAGACTGTGGTATGGGGAGGGGTTGACTCGTCCAACAAACACGTCATATCATGAAATCGTGGTTATTAAAAATCCCAAATTGTATTTTATTTATCTAAATATTTTGTAACGGATGGTAGAAAAATGTTTTTAGTGGTGAGGGGGCAAAAAGAATGCTACTATTGTAAAGTTTGGGGGGACCGGTGGTAGAAGCGGTACCGTTCTTGCCTCGCAAGCGAGATGTCACGGGTTCGATTCCCGGGCCGGTGGAAGTTGTTTGGACTTACTTCCTAGCCCCCATTAGTCCCTGTTCACCTAGCAGTAAAGTAAGTACCTATTGTAAGTCGAAAGTTGCGAATTCGTATTCGGGGACAAGTTGTTGGAGCTTCCAATAACTTGACATAAACCACTGACTCTTCAGGCTTCTACGCCCTTAACTCATGAGACATAAAGGCAAGCACGAACTTAGCATGATTCCCTGTTGGGCGCTGTAAACGCTTCTGCGCTTCACCTTGCTCATGGATGTAGGGGAGTGCCCAATAAAAGAAAAAAAATTGTAAAGTTTACATTCTCACCCTAGGTAACGATTTGTTTTCTTCACATAATGTAAATCTGGCTGTGGGACAAGGGTTAAAATAACGTGGAATTTATTAACAAACCGAGAAGTAAGTAGGTTGGACCTCTGAGCCTTTAGCGGTTTTTAAGTCATTAATGAATTTGTTTTGATTTTAGCAGGAACTACTGAGCATGAAACAATCGCTCAGTGTTCGTTCCTGCTATTATCAAACGGTTCAGTGTAAGCCAAGGCCCCAGAAACGCAAGCATGTATATATTTCATGTTATTACAGGGTAACACATAGCCTATACCAATGACAACACCAATATGAATGCTAATAAGAATAAAGATAAAATAGTTATCTTACCTTGTTACAGAAATATTTGTATGGGTAGGATGGAGGGAAGAACGAGTCCACTGTATAGTACCTCCTTCGTGCTGCTCGACGCTGTCTACCCCTCAACCCGGTCACTCAGACACACTCAACATCCTCTTAAAACTCTCGATCGCTAAATAATTGTCCTGTTTTGAACTCCAATACGAATGAAGCCAAGACGCGATCTCTTCACCTACGAGTGTTCCACCTCAACTGAGACACCCGAGGAGTCATGACACACACACACACACACACACCTGTCTTTCCCTGACCCGCACTAACGGTGAAACCTGTTCTCCAGACCGTCCTGCCACGCTCCCCAAGTTGTCTTATATTTTTTCTTCAAAATCCTTCATGTCCTCGTCGTTTCATTTAATTCGTTCGTATGTTATTTTTGCTTACTATCTCCATAACGCTATAATAATGTGTGGCATAAAACGATCTTACCTTAGAGGTACTCAATGTGTGATCATATCATACATAAATCAGGAATATAAATTGCACTTGGCGAAACAGTTTTTATGTAGTCTACCCACAAGACTCTAGCTTTAATATACAGTATTTGTATATTTCAGTAAACGAAAACTACAATTACGGGAAAGAAGAGACCCTAGATGCCTTTAATAGTTCTTATTGTGTAAGCGGCAGGAAGTCGGCAAGTCTCTCTGTGTGTCTTGGGGGCAGCGAACTCTGCTGGTGACGGTCAAGATCATAATGGCAGTGCTGGGTGTATTTTACCGTCCCACAAAACATCGGAATTGACTATGGCTCATACTATCCTTCAATAAGGTTCTCGTTTTTTCATAATGTAAGTTAAATCATGAGAAAGTCAAAAGCTTATTATTGCTACAGTTTGTCAAGAATTACCCTTCGTTTCCTTAAATGTAATAGTACCCTGTACATGAAGGCATTGGTAATATTTTGTCGTCTAGAAAATGAGAATATTTTTGTATTTCATATATTTTAAATTTATTTTAGTGTTAACATTTAATATGTAAATTTACAGTGTACAGTCGCATCGTTTCATCCTTAGAAATTCTTAACAAGGCACTATTACCCGAAAAAAAATATCGTAAAAGAAAAATGAACACGGCTCTATATACTAACTTTATCATGCGAGTGGAGTGAGTTATGTAGCGCGTATGCATGACCCACAAGAAAACCGGACAACAATATTTGGTAGAGAAAAAATATTACCGTTAGAAAGCGACCGCGAGTTGCCAACCCTCAGCGCCTTTGTTTACAGAGAATTTCCGAGAATGTAATTACAAATAAAAGCATTTCAACAACAATTCTTCAATCAGTATCATAAAAAAAGGATCAAACATATTCTAAGAAAATAAATATATGATACACTATTTTATCTGAGTTTGGTTAACAGTTCCCGACTTTTCTAATAAATATACAAACGAAAATGGAAATAAAATAAGATGTCTGGTTAAAGAAAAGTAACTAAATTAAGTAATGTTGAGAAGGTAATGAATTTATTGCTAAAGCTGCGGCCCTTGTGGGATATTATCAACCACAGCCAGCACCACCCACCCACCCTCTGCCTCCTCCTCTCTCTCTATCTCTCTCTGCCGCCCATGACACGTAAAAATTAATGCAAATCAGAAAGGAAACTAAACCGAATGTGATGCCTTTTCAACTAATGATGAACCTCCCTTTTACCCCCTGAGATCAACACCGTCACGTGATCACGTCTGCTCCTTCAGACTTCACCCTCTCACGTCTATCCCTAAGGTACGAGGAAATCATCCTTGGTGTGTACGATGAGAGAGCCAGTCCAGAGATGATCATGGCAACATCTGATAGAGAGAACACCTGGTAATGAGAGAAAGACACTTAATTAACGAGTTTACTACTATTCCGGGCTAAGGCGGGGGCTAATTCCGTTTACCGTTATGAGGTGACGTGTTACCGGTACCTTGATACAACCGTGGGCCCCGGCCAGTTGCTCTCGAGATGCCGTGAAGGATAGTGACGCTCGCTGCTCGGAAACACAAGAAGCTGATTGATATATTTACGTGTTTGTGATAAAGGAAGACGTACAAATTACTTAAAGAAGCCATGTGTTCAAGAAAGTGCAAGAGACATGATGTGAATTAGTTTTATACGAGGAAATAGGAAATAATGACACTGGTGAATAAATTGTGTGTATGTATGAGGAACAGGAAAAGACATGGGTTTACAAAGTGTGTTCATGAGCCTGGAATAAAGATGTAATGAGAGATACAGTTATTATCTCTGTGTTCATCTGAGACATTAAGAGTAAGAAACAGGTTCATGAGGAGGAAAAAGTTGTAAGTTTAATTTTATTATTTTCATGAACATTTGATATTTCGTACTGATTTAATACTTGGTTTTAGTTTAGTTATTTATATTATTACTCCCCCTTACACTAAATACAGATGATAATTTTATACACTTTAGTTCTTTAACATTATTCAACCCTGACGTAAAATACAGCTACATTATTTTATTATTATGAACACACCAGAATACAGAGGTCCAGTCTCTTCATGTTTAACAATAATACCTAAGAATACATGACCACAACTTCCTATTTCCTTTGAATTTAATATAAAATTAGGTGTCCAGTGTACGATTCTGCCCGCAGTGGCCTCCGCCTGTAGCATCACACTTAACACAGCATTCTGTCAACAGGTTTTGGTCGCCTGAGGATGGTGACGTCGGAGATTAAAAAGGTTATCGCCTCCTACAGTCTCTAGTGAAGGATTTAAGGGCTTCAACGGGTTACTTCCTAGCAAGATGTTCCCACGATTAGCTAAGTTCCCCCGCCGTATTATCCTCACCTGTGTGTACATGTACTGTCTTCTGTTTATCCATCGCCTCAATGACGTCCACGAGGTAATCTCTTGTTGTTAGCAGCTGATCCTGTCACTATAATATTTTAAGATAATATAAACACTAATAATGCCTTGACTCTAGTTATTAGCTGGATTTCTCATACTGTAAATAAACGAAAAAATAAAAATCATTAATGTTCCTCCTCCATCAACAGGAATCCAAGGCTCTTAAGGTAGCCCATCTTAAAACTATACACGCCCGCGCCGCCCAAGTAGAAGCTGGGTGTGCTTCTTTCCCACCCAGTCTGACCAAACTACAACAACATGCCAACGACGCCGCCAAAGTCAGCCCTAATCTAGCCGCTCACTACACGGGTCTTCATCTTAAAGCTGCCCTTAAGAATATTATCTACATAAAAAAGCATAACATATCCTGGTGCCTCGTGCCCAAGGTCAGTGTAGGTCAAAGGTTATCAAGAGGTCAGTGTAGGTTAAGGTTATCAAGAGGTCAGTGTAGGTTAAAGGTTATCAAGAGGTCAGTGTAGGTTAAAGGTTATCAAGAGGTCAGTGTAGGTTAAGGTTATCAAGAGGTCAGTATAGGTTAAGGTTATCATGGGTGGTTAGTGTTCTAGAAAACGTATCTATCACTTGTCATATAAGGGGTCACTCTTTTAAATACGGACATTATTAGTCATAGTAATCAGTATTAATTAGCAGGTTAGACCTTATTTTGACCTTTGACCCATGCCATTACAGGTAGCGTCGACGTCGTGGGCCCAGGCTTTACTGGCACTGAGAGGTCAACTTGGAAACGAATACAGTGACCCTCCACTCCAGGTCGTTCTCAGAGAAGCATTCAAGTAAGGTTATATTAGGTCATTCAGTCTTAACATGTAGGTAAGGATGTTTCAGGTCACACTCAGACGACATGATCTTGAGTTTAAGTGTATTTTCGGAGTCATTTATGACCTATGGTCTGTAAGGGTCAGGCGGGGTCATTTACTTGTCCTGGGTGGTCAGGTAAGGTCACTCGAGTCTTTAGGGAACAACATGAAGAGTTTTGGGGTCTAGTTTTGGTGATTTCGGGTTTTATATCTTCATTATTTTGTGTCTATATCCAGTTGGTATTGTGTTGTCTCTGATGTACTGTACGTGTGGCCATATCAAAGTAAGTTCCTCGTGTCATGGAATATTATCAACCAAAAACAAGAACAAATGAACCATTAACTGGCTGAAGCTGGTTTTGCTGTACTGTGATTCTAAATAATAAAAAGAGATCAATTTCTAAGATGCATAATACCAATACAGTACATATTGTTTCCTTACATCATATGATTTTAAAAGTTTTTCCTTCATTCCAGGATGATTGATCCAACACGGGTGAATCAGACCATTAACTCTTCTCTCAAGTTCCTCTTTGTGAGACATCCGTTCCAGCGCCTCGTGTCCGCCTACAGGAATAAGCTGGAAGACTCGTACACGGAACAAGATGGCTCCTACTTTTATAAGAATTACGGTAGAAGCATCGTTCAGAAGTTCAGGAAGAGCCGTAAAAAGATAACAGTCGCCACGAAGCTCACACCGGTTGGAGGAAAGAATCAAGGAGACCAGAATAATGATAACGAAATATTAGACGCAGAGAATGTCATGAAAACGGAGGAGGAAGAAGAATATGTGGAATTTAAGAGAGAACCATCTTTTGAGGAATACGTCGACTATCTCATCAACACAGACGTAGAGAGTTACGACGAGCACTGGAAACCCATCTTCCTGCAGTGTCAAGTGTGCGACTTTCACTACGACTACATCATCAAGTACGAGAACTTCAAGCAGGAGATTGACACTTTCGTGGAGATGCTACAGGAGACTGACAGGTTGCCTCGGAGATTCATCCTTCAGTGGGAGAACCGCGGCGGCACGGATGAGAAAACAACTACAGAGTACCTAAGTCAAGTGAGCCAACACAAAGTATGGCTTCTGTACCAAAAATACCGACAAGACTTTCTGTATTTTGGATACACGATGGGAAATTATACCAAGTAGAAATGTGACCACTTTATACACAAGTACACCGTATACTATTTTTATTATACGAATATGCCTTTATTAAACGCCATTTCAAGTTATAAAATATGCTTTCGTCATTTATGTGATTAACTTACAACTGTGGTGGCCTCAATATGACGGTATAAGTCTATATTTTTCACCAACTCATCTGTTTATACATCCATTCATCAATATTCATTCAGTTATCTATTTACATGTCCATTCATCAGATTATTTAGCCATTTTACCATTTTTGTTTATATGTTTAACTATTTGTACAGTACCAGGGAACGACGATGAAAATATCCGCTATTGAAAGGGTTTGCTTTATGTTTTGTAGCTTAATGGTGAAATATCAGTTACTATGTACTGTATATGTCTAGTGAACTGTCTCAATATATAGATAAACAGAGATATCAGACTTAAACACACTTTTGATAATTAGTAATGTCAAAATTGTGTAAAATAAATACCAGATCAAAAATAAAATTATAATAATGATTTTGATATGGGGAATGAGCAAGTCATCAGTCGAACATTAACTCACGTCTCACAGCCTAAATAATAATACAGTAAATAAGAAAGTACTGTAATTCACATAACCGTGGAAGCCTGTAATTGGCCAGCCAGGGTGTTTATTGTAACGAAATGTGATTCTATGTAAATAATCTTATTCAGATTCTTTAAACATAAAACTTGTATCTTAGTGCAATCTGTGCGTATCAAAAAAGATGTCTTAGTCATAAAAATAATTAGAATTTAATTGTAAATGAAACTAATGGCCATCGTCTACTGTTACAAAAGTCTGCTGCATTTGAGGTTGCCGAGTCCTGGTTCATTTTGTATTGGTTCTGCCCTAGGAAAGTATAGAAGAGGAAGCGTATCTTAGAGCTACACAATGTAGATGGCACTGAAAAAAAATGGCGGGAAAAGAAGCGTCTGCTGTTTGCTTTGACGGCCGCTGGGCATGGTGTGAGTGGCTGGCGGACGTCAGTGACAAGCGTGGCGAGGAGCGTGTATCACTGGTAACGTGTGCGGCACAAGTCAAAACAAGACCTGAGGTTTCAATACTTCCCAAAGGACAAGAAAGGGTAAATAGATTTATTTAGTAAGCGTCACACAAGTTTAAACCATATTTTGTAAAGCAAGCAGAGAAGGTGTGAGTAATACACACGAACTAAGGATCATTTTCAAAAGTACTGTCCACAATATGGCAAAGATGGTTAGCATCAGAAGGACTTTGTGGAGTTGCACCAAATTTTCAGATGTCGTTTGGATGATACTAAGTAAGAAAATCGAAATGACAAGGCACAGAACCTGACCTAACCCACATAACCTAACGTGGTATATTTAGTTTCGGAAATTGAAATTATATTTTTCCAATCTATCGATGTGTTTTACAGCAACCGCAGACTTCCGGAAATTCACTACACTCAATCGATAGAACTATTTTTTCAATGATAATTTCTTATATTACACTTCCGTCGCAAATTGATAATAAGGAAGTTATTGAATTAAAAAATAATAAAATCAGAGCACTTGTTGTCCCTACGCAGTTGCTTAAATTGTCCGTGTTCGTTCGTTTGCTTACTTACGCACATCTGCTGGAGGCGGCCGCCAATCAAATCGGGGGTGGCCGCAGCCAATCAAATCCAATAAAAAATCTCAACGTTTGGTTCAACCAATTAGCGTTCAATATTCGGCGTGGGTGCTAAGATGTGGGACATTTTTAATCAGTTACAACATCAAGCCATAACGTGCTGGGTGCGATTTCGATTATTGGAAGCTTATCGTATTGTTTCATTCTAAAAATAAGGAAACTTTAGAGAATAAAGGAACCCACGACGCATTCTGGTCCCTGACTCGGAGTAGGGTAAGAAATACTCTAACAGCTATTTATAGTCTCGTGGAGGTTGACCATGTGACTAGGGTTATTACGTAGCGTTTGGGGGTCCGGGGTCAAAGCCCCGGCTAGTCACCAGGGGTCAGGGGGCGGAGCCCCCGGTAGGGGGCTTGGTAAGGTTTAGTTTGGTTAGATGGTATAAGTTAGCAAGCACAGAGTACCGGGAATTAAGAACACGCGATCGATAGAACTATTATGAGGGGGGGGGGGGACTAAATCACAACCGAGTGATTATCGACAAAAACGAAGGTCAGATTTGAACTAATCGCATTATAACCCATCAGAGCACCACCTTCCATGGTTGCTGTGATATGTACATTTACCAAATGTAATAGTTAGACAGTAAAAGTAGCATAGAAATTCAATTAAATGCATTTAATTAATGTAAAACATGTAGCACATTTAAATAAAATTAAGTGTTTTGTAGTCTAAGACAAATAAAAAATATATTAACGGAAAAATATTGTCACACATACACACATTTTATATATATATTACTGTATATCGGAGTTTTCGCTAAATATTAATTTTCTATCATAGTCTATCCCTTAAAAAAATACATTCGTTTTCTTTCCTCGGGACGCCTGGCCACTAGATGGCGGGCCAATCGGAGGTCTCAACGCAAAGTAAAAGACGCTTTCTCCTATACTTTCTTTGGTCTGAGTGTAGTTAAAAGACCAAAAACAGAATTCTATCTTGATTTTTAACAGTTAATGAACTAGTGTAATTAATAACCGTATTACACGCTTGAAGACATTGTTGTTGAAGTACAGTAACAACATCAACGACTTCAAACTCCCCCTGCCTCGATGGTGAACTAATGACCTTTATGTGTTGTGATTTCCTGGAAGAATATACATAGAGTTATCTTCCTAGCCCCCATTAGTCCCTGTTCACCTAGCAGTAAAGTAAGTACCTATTGTAAGTCGAAAGTTGCGAATTCGTATTCAGGGACAAGTTGTTGGAGCTTCCAATAACTTGATGACATAAACTACTGATTCTTCAGGCTTCTACGCCCTTGACTCATGAGACATAAGGCAAGCATGAACTTAGCATGCTTCCCTGTTGGGTGCTGTAAACGCTTCTGCGCTTCACCTTACTCATGGATGTAGGGGGGTGCCCAATAAATAATAATAGAAAAAAAATAGTTATCACCTTCTGTGAGTAATAAAGACAACTATTTTTATACCGAATTTCTCGAAGGTCACGGGGGACTAACTGTGTTTGCCGTGAATTAAAACAATAGCATATAGTAACGAGGTATATTTAACATTTTTCAAAACATTTTCGAACAAACAAAATAATATTTCAAGGATATTTATGTTTGATCTGGCGATATTCTATCTTATCATATTATAAATCTGCTAAAATTACGTAGTGTTGATAGTTGTTTTTTTAGTGCTTTACCTACTACTATTTCGCAACATTTCCAAGACCCTTCATCTAGTTGTGAATCTTCAGCTTTACAAGAATCAATAATTGTTACAGTCATAAATCGTTCACCCATGGTTGCATACACAGTATATGATAATTATTTACAATTTAAATTAGCTCAAAAACCCAAACAAATCACTGAAAAAAGACCTATATGGCAACTCGAAGACTTTTATGTTGCCATATACAAGATAATAAATAGTTCAATAAAGTGACATGTAATTCATTCAGAAAATAATATGTATATATAGCAGCAACAATGAACTTAAAAAAAAATCTCGAAAAAAGTACATAGTTTCTTTCACTGTTTCTGTTTAAACGGGAGCGAGTGACGAGTTGGCAGAGGGGTGTACAGTGTATTGCTAGTTGTTGCAATTCTGCTTGGAGAAATTCCTTCACGGTAATTTCCAAATGCATTGTAGTCTATAAGCTGTAGTTTCCTTTTATTTTTAAGTTATTAGACATTTTCAGGTTAAAGTGAAATTATTTAGTTCTGTATCCTGGAAAACGATGATTGATAGACAAGAGAAGTTATTACTTGAATGTGGAAATAATGTGAACTGAAAGAGTGTTATCGTATTGTTTCGTCATCTCGCGAGATAAGACAATCGACAGCGCCAAAGGATATATATATACAGTAAACCCACGACTCAAGAGCAGTGGAGTCATAAGGTCGCCTCTTCTCTTTGTGATGAGTGTCGTGTATTGAACCAGTGCATGAACCGCGCCGCCTCTGCCCTACCCTGCCCTGCCCACCCATAACTTGACCCGCCTACAAATGCCAAATCAACATTCATCATCCGTAACAGTCACAATGAATCACACGGTAAGGTTTTTTTTTTTTACGTAATAATATATCTTAAAATTTACCTTCCCTGATTGTAGATATTAATACGAGGTGAGAAACTCTTGCGTGTTAGATTTACAAAAATTGAGTAGAGTTTCCCTTAGCTGAATGTGCTCTCTCGTTGTTAAATAAAGAAAACTTGACGTACGAATCTTGGACAATTCTGGCTCAGGTTATTTGTTATTTATCTACAATATTTCAACCACGTCTGATTTTTATTTGATATTTTTTTTTAACTAACGAATTCCATGTTAACGACGTCTTTAGCATTAGTTTATACTGTTTTATTTACCTTCTTCATATATAATTATACCATTCCAATGCAATGTGTTTATTTTTTTATCTTGAAGAATTCCCATCACAGCTTATTTCACCTAAATCTTAACCTAACCTAACCTCATCCTCCCAAATAGTGTAAGGGTGTTTAATCTTTAGGTGAAATAAGCTGGGATGGAGATTCAGGTGATTTTTTTTCTTCAAATATGTTCAGAGATTTGGAAATATCAAACCTTAATATATAATTATCTCAAAAGTTTTCGACGTTCTTTTGTTGTTTTTTTACTCTTGTCTTCATATATAAAAGTCGGGTGGGAGGGGTGACAGGCGGGCGATTTCATTTACTCATCCGATACCAAATTTTCACAGTAATGGAAATAGTGATGGTAAAATTTCCAATCATTTTAGTTATATTTCTTACATTTGACTTAACTTCCAAGTGAATAAAATTTAAAGTTGACTGTTCGTCTTCAACTTCTCAAATGCACAAAATTGACGGATGCTGGTAACGTCATTTCCGGTTTTTCAATACAGTAATGATAAAAAACAAATAGACACGCCAACACGGATATTTTTGGGGGTATAATAATTATTTAAATTTTACTCACAGCCAGACTACTACAGTACTTGAACTTAAGCAAAAACTGATATTTCTTATTTTTTTATTTGTTCAGTGGAAGAACCGATTTGGAGGGGACGGGGAGGAGTATTTTGGTTTAACATCTTCGCTAACAAGATTGACGTAAACTCATGTGTAATGAGAACGGTTCAGTTAGCTCTTTGCAGGAGAATATCATGTTTATTTGCTACCAATAATAACAGTTTCATACATAACAGGTGATATACTTACAAATCATAGGTTATTAATTAGTGTGGGCAAGCGAGTTTAGGATAAGCTGTCAGGATGTCCATGAGGATTCATGATGGTGATACTGTGGGGTATGTTTGTTTGGGGTTCACACTCAGGATGGGATGGAGAAAGGAAACTCACAATGTGCTCTCTGTATACATGTTGTATTGGATGTACAATGCAGCTTGGTG